CACACCAAAGACATATTTTTCTTAACAAGGATTCAGTGAGACAACATTCAGTAATGGCACATTTCATTTTTTGGAGAAGCTACTTATATCTGCCTGTTTTGATGTATCAGGAATCTAAAAGAGAAGGATAATTCGAATGAATATGAATTATTCCAGACCCTATTCAACAGCACTAATGACAGTTTTCACTTTATTTTTCAACTACCAAATGAGCTGTATGTTTTCATCACACTGTCTATCATATATTTTATCTCACGTCTCACGTTCTTTCATCCCCTACCTTAATCCTACCAAAGGGAACTTCCATCTCTCTGGAATATCTTTAGGATTTTGTTCGTAAAACTGAGGAATCTGTCCCACTGACTGAGTTGTGTTTTTGCTCGCTCTGTTATCCATGTTTGGGTTCAGTCCTCATTTATTAATCTATTATTTTTCTCAAATCAACACAAAGTGCGAACTAGGAACAACAACAAAAACCAATACCTATAACCTCAATCGTTGAGAATCGCAGAAAGCGACAACCAAAATCTTTCGCTTCTGCTCAATGAACTCAATACAACTTGCTTCTGCTTCGCTTACGAACTCACGTTCGGCGTCTCCGACCTCATCCGAATATTGATACAGAGTACCGAAACGGCAAAAGCAGTCGATTACGCATGCTTTCGCTTTCGCTTTGAGTTACAGAGTCCCACTGCAGAATTAGTGGGATCGTATTCCTCGGAATCCGATTTGGAACCAGAAAGAATTTCATAATTTTGTTTGGTGAAACATGGTGAAACTATGGCTAGGGCTATGCACATCGAAGGTAACCTAACAGACTTTGTGTGCCCCTCAAGGAACCATGTCAAAATCACGTGTTCTGGAATGGTCAATTGCCTTGAACAGTAGAACGGAGACGAAACCAGTAGATCTACTGTTAAAATAGTAGGCCTGGTAACGGTGACTACGAATCGAGTTCATTGAGCGATGGTAAGGGCCAGAGATTAGCCACCCACGAGATTAGCCACCCACAGAACAAGATGCGCACTTCCCTGTTAAAAATTGGAAAAATTTTTCAAGAAGGTTTTGGAAACGAAATGTAGATGACGCGTCCATTTACGTTTCCACCTGAACTAGTTTTTTTAAATTCAAAATAACCTGAAATCTCTAAATCATGACGAAAGAAAATTTCTCTTAATTCTATTTATTTCAGTAGTGCGGATCGATAAAATAAACTCCAACTACTTCAAATAAAACAAATATATTTCCCAAGGTTGGTAGAAATAGTCATCAGTTCTACCAACCTTGATACTTCCGGATGTTGTTGCCATCTATTAGATTCAGTTGGAACTATAATTCGTCACGTGACCATCATTCCAAAGTGCCTACATATACCCATTTTCATCCAAGGTCTATTAAATAACCTTGATTTTCATCAAGGGACCCTATCCTTGGGTAACGACGAGCTCGCTGCTTTCCGGGAAACGGAACGGTTACTAGATATGGTAACATATCTTAGGTTAGGTTACTAGATCTGGTAACATATCTTAGGTTAGGTTACTAGATCTAGTAACATATCTTAGGTTGGGTTACTAGAACTGGTAAAATATCTTAGGTTAGGTTACTAGATCTGGTAACATATCGCAGGTTGGGTTACTAGATCTGCAGTGGGACTCTGTAACTTGTGTCGCATAGCGAAAGCGTAGCGAAAGCGAAACGAAGCGAAGTATGCTTTCGCTATCGTCATACGATTTCGTACGAAATAGAACGAAGTTGGTGGAGTTAAATTTGGCAACAGTGTTGCGGATCCCATTTATTCAAAGGAAACATCCCATTGGATCAAAAAAGCGGCATTTACGAATTATTGTATTGTCAATTTTTGGTTTCAATCAGAAATAAAGCACTTGCAGCTCATTGGAAAATATGTACCTTACTTTATAAAAAATTGGTATTTATATTCTCACTAGGTATATCTCAGGTATAGCTTTCTATTTATATGCAACTAGTAAAGGCAAATGATCTGAGAATAACAATAATATTGTAAGATATGTAACTGCTTATATTTATAATGGACATATCATTCTATAATCTAACACTCAGTATATTATTATTCACATACTATAATGTAATACCTATCAGAACTTGCTTCTCTATGTCGCAAATTAAACAAGATGATAAGCACATATAATTCCTTGAATTGCCTTCTGCAAGGCAGCTATATGTTGACAGTGCATTTATACAGATGCACTTTTTCTTACAGTTCACTTTAGAATCTTGGATGGAATTATTAATGTAGTGAAAGTAGAATCCGTTCTTGTTCTTGTTCAACATAGTAAATAAAATGTTCAGTTAATCCTGTTTCATGGAATTTACTCTTGATTCTCCCTTATTGGTACACAGTTCTTCTTGGGTGTCTCCAAGGTTTTTGCTATCCAAATTATTTTTCCTTCCAATGCACTTATTATGCAAATTTTTCAAATTTGAACGTTCCAGGCTTTCTGTTATGTTTCACTGTTGTAGGTATCGGCATATTATATTAGTAGGATTCTTCAATTACCTATTATTGTCTTCTTCAATGGACTCACACCAAAGACATATTTTTCTTAACAAGGATTAAGTGAGACAACATTCAGTAATGGCACATTTCATTTTTTGGAGAAGCTACTTATATCTGCCTGTTTTGATGTATCAGGAATCTAAAAGAGAAGGATAATTCGAATGAATATGAATTATTCCAGACCCTATTCAACAGCACTAATGACAGTTTTCAGTTTATTTTTCAACTACCAAATGAACTGTATGTTTTCATCACACTGTCTATCATATTTTTTATCTCACGTCTCACGTTCTTTCATCCCCTACCTTAATCCTACCAAAGGGAACTTTCATCTCTCTGGAATATCTTTAGGACTTTGTTCGTAAAACTGAGGAATCTGTCCCACTGACTGAAGTTCTGTTTTTGCTCGCTTTGTTATCCATGTTTGGGTTCATTCGTCATTTATCAATCTATTATTTTTCTCAAATCAACACAAAGTTTGAACTAGGAACAACAACAAAAACCAATACCTATAACCTCAATCGTTGAGAATCGCAGAAAGCGGCAACCAAAATCCTTCGCTTCTGCGATCTCATCCGAATATTGATACAGAGTACCGAAACGGCAAAAGCAGTCGATTACGCATGCTTTCGCTTTCGCTTTGAGTTACAGAGTCCCACTGCTGGTAACATATCTTAGATTAGGTTACTAGATCTGGTAACATATCTCAGGTTGGGTTACTATACGATGATCCACAGGGCTATCAGTCTATTTCTCAATATCATGAGTTATTTTCGAAGGTTTTCATCTTGACTCAAACAATCTATTGACAATCTGCAGACATTGATCAGAATAACAAAACAATTTGAATAATATCGGTTTACTAATGATATTTAAATTTCAAAGCCTACCAAGTGTCGATACATCATGGAATTCATGTCACAGCCAACTTATTCTTTTAGAATAAAAAGCAAATCAACAGCGAATCAAGAAATAAATGTCACTTTGTGATACATGGTTGGATAGAGAATTTCAAGGCGAAAAAGATAGACTGAAGAATTGTACAGGGTGACATTTAAAAAAAAAAAGTTGGGGTCACTTTCGGTCAAACAGGTAGTCGAAAAAAATTGTCGTTGAGTTCGTAAAGTGCGCTACCATTTATTATATACCCCCTGTGAATTTCAAAATTTTATCTCTTCTAATAAAAAAACTACAGGCTGCTACATGTCTCCTGTGTCACCCCGGTATGTATACAGTCTGTCCAAGATAAGGTTGAACAGCATGGGGATCTCGGAAACGGTAGGAGATACGAAGTCGTTTAAATGGGGAAGAAGTTTTTGTGTTATATCGAAAAAGGTGAATTTTTGGAATATCTATTTTATTTTTTTTCTCCGTTATTATAGAGATACAGCAAAACTGAGAATACTTTTTCATAGCAACTTTTGATGACGTCCAACGTGGTGATACTGATTTTTTTTATGCGACGTTTCGTATTCGTGGAACCATCATCAACTTTTGTTTTTTAAATGCGGTCCTGATAATTTTTTCACAGGTTCTGAAATTTTTTTTTATTCTTAATTCAACCATGTATTATACAAGGTGGTTTATGTGTGTTTCGACCTACTTTTAGCCATCATCAATGTTTTTTCGAAATTCCAAAGGGAAAATGCCATCAGTTCCACTTATTTTGAAGGAAATCAACACACTTATACCTCATCAACTGGTTTCAAGTTTCAATCAACAACCCATTTCATTTTGCTCGGTACCGTGGGACCGCTCGATGTAACTAGCTATTTACTCAAACGGACGTTAGCAGTCAGTGCTGCCGTTTTGCAAGTAATTACTTGCATTTGCAAGTAATTACAAAGTTTTGCAGTAATCGGTAAGGATTCAACATTTTGCAAGGATTTTGCAAGGATTTTGAGTGAATGCCATGACCTCGTTTTGCTTATGGTGTTAGACGTGTTCCGTACTTTATTCGTTTTTCTGTGTTCTGTGTTCTGATCTTCTGTGGTATTTGCGTATTTGTCAATCGTCATTTTTGTGCTAGACACTTGACTAATGGATCGAGGCTTGACTTGACACCACAGAACTCATATATTATAATAGCTTGACACTGATGATGACTGTTGTCATCGACATTGACAATGAAAAATAACAAATCAAAAATGGAGGCCTGCCTGCTGCCGCTGTCTGAGAAGTGAGCAAATATGTAGAGTATTCAATTATAATATAAGATATTTTTTACGAAAAATTAGATGAAAAATCATAAATTAAACATCGATATGATGAGAAATTGGTTTCTCAGTTCGGTGAATATTCAGATAATTTAGCTCATTCTGAGTGGAATATTTTCGTTTGTTTAATCTATGCTTACACAAAAACAAGGATTCCAGTGAGAAAGATCCCATTCTGTTACTTGGATACCCTTAGGCTTCTGGCCGCTAGATGTCGCGTGCTATTATAAGTCAAATAGTCAAATGTCAAAATGATGGCTGGAAGTTGAACCGTTTCGACACCTTCAATTTTATATTATTCCATTTTTATTACGATAATACAGTGAAGCACACGAAATCGATCTGTGTAAAACATAAAATTCATAAGCATTTTGTATAGAAAATTATTTGCAAGGATTTTGTCAGGATTTTCAAAATTTTGCCAGTAAAATGCAAGGATTTTGAAATGAATTTGCAAGTAATTCCACAAATTCATGTGGCAGCACTGTTAGCAGTGTTAGCACAAAGCAAGGAACGCTACGAAGGCACGGAAAGAAAAAGAGCAATTTAACCTCAATACCCTCTTTACCAAACAAAAGTCATTTTAGCGGGAAGTTTATTCACCAAAATTATGAGTGTTACTAGTGTTAGGCATTTTCTTTGTTTCAGGTGAAAAAGCTGAAAGATACACAGAGTGGTTAAGTACAATAATACGTATCTGCTTGTTTTGATTCATTCTATGTGGAAAATCTAGTATTGGAGTTGAAATACTTGTGTTAGAATGGCTGACTTCAATTCACTTTGTGAGAAATATTTTGGATGTTGTGATTTCTATGAAATTTTGAAAGTAGATCGCAATGCGTCCGAAAAAGAAAGTAAGTACAAATACCAAGTACCTTATACCTGCTTATACCCATACCCAACTAAATACTCATAATATGCTCATAGAGTGTACACTTCTTTTCATCATATGACTTACACCCCAGATGGCTGAAGGGTCCAATATTATTTTTTGATGAATAATACTCTGAAAGATGTACTCAATCCTTTGTTTGTCTCATATGTTTTATTGTGCTTTTATTAAATTTTCAGTAAAAAAAGCCTACTACAGGTTGTCACTGCTGTTTCATCCTGATAGAGTGGATGATGACCACAAAGAGATTGCTACAGAGAAATTCAAGGCCCTAGGAAAGATCCACTCTATCCTACAGAATCCAGACAAGCGCAATCTGTATAATGAAAGTGGACAATTTGATGATGAAATGGACACTTCCTTCAATTGTATGGACTATTGGAGAAACATGTTCAAGAAGATTGAGATAAAGGACATACAAAAGTATGAACAAGAGTACATTGGCTCAGACACTGAACTCAGAGACATAAAAAGAGCATATGTTGGTGGAAAAGGTATATTGCTAGGATATATTGCATTTTATACTTGAGGTTGTTATTAATATCAATACAATATATTGATGTCCATTTATGTATTAACATTTGAGAGCTAGGAGGATGGTTGAACTTATGTGAAGTGTGAAGCTATGCTTGCTTTTTTGAAAGATACCTATAGCTGGGGAAGTGATGTAAAAATATGCAAAAGTATTTTATTATTCTTTCAGGTAATATGGATGTCATCTTGGAGATGGTACCATTCTCTAATTGTGATAGTGAGCCTAGAATAATAGATATAGTGCAAAAAATGGTTGACAATGAGGAAGTTGAATATTACAAAGCATTCTTTAATGAGAGTAAGGCAAAGAAAATGAGAAGACACAGAAAGTATGAGAAAGAAAAGAAATTATCTGAACAAATTGACAGTATGTTTTATTTTAATTAATCATCAAATTATCACTTGAATGTTGTAAATCTACAGTGGATTATTTTTTAGTGGAAGAACTTGATAAGCAAATTGAAGCAAACATGCAAAAAAGAGTGGCAGAGTTTGATACATTTATTTGTGATTTGGAAGCAAGATATGCTCCTAAAACCAAGAAGAAGAGGCTTAGTATTACTGATGCAAAGAAAAAGAACAAAAAGTCCAAGTGAATTGTTATATTATAGTGATTCTGAGATTCTGTGTACAACAATTAATGGTTCCTTTATGGTTCCTTTTCATTAACTGATGGATAAAATGTATTTGTCAAGTTTTGAGAAGTTGACAAAAAACCGGACAGCAGAACTTGATAAAATGTCTTGTGACTCTTAGGCCTGTTCGTTTGTGCTTGCTCTACCTGCTGAACTTGATTTTTTTCTATGACTTTCTCTGTTTACATCATGCCATGGACAGAAACAACTATGGAAAAAATAGCAACTTCAGCAATACAAACGAACAGGCCTCTTGTGTCATGGTTTTTTTTTGTAGTTCTTCATCTTCATGGTACTAGTACTACTCATGATGATGATGATAATTAGACCTCACCATGATCGGCATGATCACACACGATAAACTTCTGTAAGATTGCATGAATTCATTCTGACCAAAAATGAGGCATAGGCAGGCTATTAGACCAATCAGCAGGTCGATTTTGGCCTTAGCCAATTCGAATCGCGGATTTTAACGAGAAATTTGAATCATGATCAATGAATAATTATTTCCCAAGTGTCTTGTAATGTAATAATGATTAGCAATTGTTAAAGAATGACATGTGATAGGTACTGGGAAATTATTATTTGGGGCAAATTACTAAAAAATCTAAAAATATATTGTTTCTGCAACCGACACAAAAGTCGTCCATTTTAATACCAAAATCAGCTCTTGAATTGACCTTTTTATTACTGATTGTGATTGGTTTAAAAGCCTGCCTATGCCTCCTTTCGGGTCAGAATGAATTTGTGCGAGTAGTGAGCTGTTTTTAAACATCGTGAATCGTGATCAAAATCAGTTAGAAACAGTGTTGCCAGAGCTGGTACTTTTGTATAGATTCAGTACAATTCATACCCTTTAGTACATTAGTACATTTCACCCAATTCTGGTTCAATTTCATGTTTTGGCCAATACATTCAGCTCAAGTTTATCAGTTTTTCAACCAACCAACCAGCTGGCTGACCATAATGAGAACAGCATCATCTTCAACTGTCACTACTGTCAGTGTACACTTGTACAGTACTGTTTCCTGATGGTTTTTCAAACATTTGATGTACGTACAGCACAGTCATCTTTCATTATGGATGATATGCTGCAAATATTGTGTATCTCACCAATGGGAAATGTTTTTTGGCTACGTACTTGATGTGACATTTTCATTCCATTGACTTTTTTCACGCTTTTTTATATGATATGATGAAGTCATTTCTGACAATGAGAAATAAAAATTATCGTTTGTCAGTTTTCTCATCGATTTTTTCAATATATTCCATGTCTGGTAAATTCCACTCGATTTTAGTACAATTCAATAGTGATTTCAGTACAATTAGCTTTTTTCTTCTGGCAACACTGGTTAGAAAGGTTAGGTTAGATCAGTGACGGCTAAATACTGTGGTAGTGCGAAGTCAGTGCAGTTTTGAAAATGGCGGAAACATTGAATATCAATATAGTTTTAAAAGCAAAACTGACTGGCAATCTAATCATTATCATCATCATCATAAAGTAGTGATGATAAGCTCAGAAAATGAAGGAGATAAAAGCATCAGGACTAAAAGTTCTGTGGGACAAATGACAGTTCAACAGAAGTCTGTCAGAAGTGTCAAAGTCACATTTTCAACTTTTCAAGTTCAAACGATCAATACGTCAAAACGACAATTTTTTGAATTTGAAATGGCCATAAAAAAAGTTTGTTAGGTTTATAAAGGCAAAAAATTAATCGACAAAAACAAAAACAACTTTCAAACACTACCTACATTTATTACTTGATACAATTTTATGAAATCAATTAGTGAACCTTCATAAGTGTAGAAAAACTAAAAACTGATATGATTCTTGATATTGAGGAATGTTTTCAAAATTGAAATGCCTAATCGACGAAAAGGTCGAAAACATCGTCAACGGGGTTCAAAAAAGAAGGAGAAATTGCAGGAAATTCCAGTTACACACTCTGAAGATCTACTGCAAAAAGCGGACTTGACTATGAACAATGAAAGTAGCCTTGTTCCTGATGAGCTTGGTATTGCTCGAGGTATTGCTCCCAGATCTCCTATTATATCACAAAAAGACGGTATCAGAAATGAGGATGCAATCATTACCACTCCTGTAAACAAGAGCCGATCAAATAGGAAAACCAACTTTTTAAGTATGAATGTAACTAATCTGGATGTGTTGTTTGAATCAAAAATAATTTCCAATAGTTTTAAATCAGGAACTGATATTTTTGTGCCTGAGAATAAGACTCCTCTCAGAAAGAGATCTCATTCAAGTATTCCTAAATTACACTCTCCAGGCAAAGAGAGACCCCTTAGGATTCATCAAGGCACACAAACAAACCCAGATATTGAACCAAGCATAAAAAAATGCAATGAAATAATGGAGACTCCTAGAGTCAGCAAAGTATTCTTGATGCCAAAATCTCCTACTGAGAAATCTTTCCTGATGCTTAATAACAACCTGACTAATACAAATAGAATAAAAATTCACAATGTTGCAAATGAAGTTAATATAAATCCCTATTTGAACAAGATGAATATGGTGAGAAGGGAGAGCAGTTGTGGTGAATTGTCATTTTATTCCCCCAATTTATTTCAACATAAATCATCATCAACACCTCTGGACAAAATTGAAAAGGCTGGCAATACTGTAGAAAACTTATATGAATGCTCTTTAAATGCTGCCAAACTTGAAATTTTGAGGAGCCCATTGACCCCTGAGTTTAAAACCAATATCAACTTGAATAATCCACTTACAGAAAAGGTGAGTTGCTACTCAAAATCATTTTGGACATAACATATTCACAACAGTAGCTCATGCAATAATCTTTAATAAAATATCTTTATTTATTATTTCAATGAAACTTCACTGTAGGTACCTACTCAATTATAATATATCAGGATGTTGTATGATCACAATATAACTTGTATGTGAATTGTTGAAAATATTTCATTAATTCCTTATTTTTTAAAGGTTGTTGACAAAGATAGCAGTATTAGAAGTCTGAGAATGAATATTTCTAGAAGAAGAAGTTACAAAACTTCTCCGAATTCTGTTCTGACTTTGGGGAGGAGTTCTAGAAATCAACATCAGTTGTCATGTTCCAGGATCAACATCAGAAGAAGGTCTTTGTTTGAGGTCTCTGTTGATCATTCAAACAGAACAGCTATTCATGAAAGTTTGTTAGCAAGACTGAAAAGATTATCACAAAGTTGGTCTAATAGGGTGATTGATATGTGCACTCATTTGGGATTACAACTGAAAAATGTAAATCAATTTTTAACCTTAAATATTAGTAGTCAACTAAGGGCCAGACAACCTCTATATATGAACCATTTTCATTTTCAATAATAGGTTTTTCACAAAACAGTGGGAACTAGTCCTGGAAACATTGTGATGAAATGCTTGATTTTTGTTTACTTTTGAAAGCAAACAAATTCATTTATTATATGATGAGTAGCTAACCCTTTCTATAATTTCTTGAATAGGCTGTGATTCATTCTAGGAAATACAACAAACAAAGAATTTGAAGAAAAATGTATTATTTTTCAAAAATTTTAAAATGATTGAACATAGTTTGATTTGCATAAGATAAAAAATTATAGAATTGATTATTTTCTTCCTATGATTTTGAACCAATCAGAAAGTTCAATTGAGTTGAGCTACTTTTGTATAATTTTGAATATAGGTGGATATACAAAGAGTAACTCTGCCAATCAGAAATTTAGAATTATTTCCATAGTAACCAATTACAAACAAAGCACATCATAAAATGTTGATGTTCATTCAGAACTACTAAAAAAAATAATGTCAATTACAATTATTCGAACTTGAAACTATTCTTGATTATACAATATACAATATCAAACTTCCTGCATAATCATAAATCCTGTCAGTTTAACAGAATAATCCTTTCACCTGTCATAGTGACACTTTGTAATTATGCAACAAGATATTGATGTATAACTTGAATATTTTAAAGTACTTATTTATTTATTTTTATTTATTTATTTATTTATTGACCAAATAACTTCCAGACAGAATAGGCTCTGGTATAAGGAAGTACATAATTATATACCTATAGGTAAACATATCATTATTCAAAATTATATTTCTGCAATTTTTTATATTGTCATGTAGTTTATTGAATTCAGTTAAGGCTGAATCTTTTTTGTCCGATTATGGAGCTAGCGGCGTCAAGATGAAACAAGTTATATAAAAGTACTGTTATAGTATTACTATTGATAATATCATCCACATACATCTGATTACTAGTTATTGGTTGATATATACAGGGTGTCTACTTTTATTGCTGTAAATCTAGCCACTATCATTTTCAGAATGAAGAGTAAGAGCCTCTGCTATCATTTTCATACCTTCTCTAAATCCAATATACAGGGTGGTACAGTTTTTGTAGTTTTAATAACAATCAATAGAATAAGAAGCTTTGGACTTGGTTTTCTCTTTTGAAGTTATAATACCTTTTATCCCTTTGTTCAATTGCTATTGTGTCAAATTTGAAATGGCAGAATTTATTATCTAAATTTTCGGAGGAGGGCAGGGAGAGGGGGATAATAAAACAATGAATCATGATAAATATGGGTTATGTATGATGAAATTTTCATTATATGAGGAGAATTTTGTATTTTTTAGAGCTTAGGTTCCATGTGCAGGTGTGAAGCAAATGGACAGGAAATTAATAAATTGCTTGAGGAAGTGAAACATGTAAAATCTGAAGTTGGTGAATTGAAGAAAAATAAAGAAAATACTGAAGAAGTTTTGAAAGAACTTAGATTGGTAAGTTTGGTGCAAAATATAGATGTCTAATTATTTTACCATTTACAATTATTATATAACTTGAAAATTGAACACTTTATTTCCCATAAGAACGGCGCCTCTGGAATTCACAAAATATGTATAAAGATTTGAAAAAACTTGTTTGGGTTTATCTATTTCATTTTCCAATCCACTGAAGAAACATTATTTGCTTTTTTTCCAGATCAAAGAAGAACTGAAATCGGTCAAGGACCAACTGACCTGTCTGCGAGTACAAAGCGTGCCCTATTCGGCGCCCAACGTTGCTGCCCCCCCGCCCACGACGTCGAACCAACCCCCCTCTGCTCCCCCTCCTCCTCCTCCGCCACCTCCACCACCTCCCCCTCCACTACCGCCAGCCGTGCAGGATTGCCGTGTCTCTTCGGTTAAGCTGAACGTGGCGAAGAAGTCGGATAAGGGTGGCAAAGAAAAGTTCAGGCCCTTCATCACGCCCAATGACATTCTGAATATCAAACTGAGGAAAATTCCGGTAAGAAATATCATCAAGAGTTCTTGACAACAAAACTTGAATGAATCTTTATAAACAATATTTATTGAATGAACTATATGAGATTATATATGTATACACATTAGAGCTATCTTTACAACAAATTTTCAAAAAATTTGTTTCCTGTTTTATTTTTCAGGAAGTCAGTATCCGGAATATCATGTTTATAGTTCTTGTCTTTCAGCGCTCCCCACAGGAAAAAATCAGAAGACGTCATCAGGTCCGGGCTACGGGGCGGGTAAAATATTGGTCCTCGCATTCCAATCAAAGTGTCATAACTCTCATTGAGGTAGTTCGTGATTTCAATTCCATTGTGAGGAGGTGCATCATCCTGCTGCCATACCAATTGGTTTCATCTATTCCAAGGGATTGCTTCGTCAAGCAAGTTTTCAATATCACTTTGCAACATATCCAAATATTTTTGCCCCGTAAGACTGCCATCAATGAAGATGGGACCAATTACTTTAGTGTTATAAACACTGCACCAGACATTTACACTACTCCGGCCTTGTTTTTCAATCTTTTTCATTACTCTCAGATTAACCGTAGCCCGCAGCTATGCTCATTTTACCTATTAAACATTCTTGAAGTTGAAAATGAACACTCATCCGTGAATAAAATATTCTTAGTAAAATTTTAATCGCAATTATTTCATGATAATATCGTAAACGATTTGGATGATCTTGAGGAAACAAATAATTCACTGGCATTACTTTGTATGGCTTCATACGATGCTTCTTCAAAACTCGTCTCACACTTGTGTCGTGGATATATTGAAGTAATTTGCAGCCACTACTCTTGTCGAACGACTCGGGTCTTCAATGAAATAAAGTAATATATTTTCCTCTGTCCCTTTTATAAGTACCGTTTTTTGCCGATTCCTCTTCATATCACCCAAATCACCACTATCTCGTCTAAACTTCTCCAAGATCCTCTTGAAGGTATTCAAAGATGGAAGCGGACGATCACCAAACCGATGCGCATCAAGAAATTTATACATATTTCCAAAATTTCGCATTTTTCATTCAAACTGTAACCCTTTTTTTTTCTATAGAAATCGAACGTTTTCAATTTCATAATAAACATGGAGCTCAAACAATTTATAAACATTATTTCAAAGCCCACTATGTTCAACTTACATTAGATGATATTACCTATGAAGTGAAGGTTCATAAAACGGTATTTTGGTCAACTTTGATCATCAATAACTCAATTATTTTCAATCCGAATATGCAACTCATATATATTTTTGGAATCAGAAGTAAAAGCTCTATCGACATATTGGAAAATATATAGGGTGTTCCATTGGAAAAATCAAAGTTGATATCCCTTCTGGAAAAACGAATGACCCTGTGTATGAAACAACTTCAAGAAATAAAAGTTTGGGTCGTTTCAAACCACTTTTTTATTTAACATTTTTTCATACCTCCGAAAACAAAAGAGTTAAGGGGGGTTTCCATTTTAAGAGGCGCACCCTGTACAAGGAAAACATCAGCATGAATTCAAGAAAATAGGATTTAATGGAAAGAGTATGTTATAATTTGATTTTTTTCTCAACCTCTCAGCGGGCACGTTCAGAAGTTATCCGTTTTCTCCACGAATATTGTTTGGGAATTGCTATGAAGGAATGGAAAATGATGTTTCAATATGACTACATAAAATGGAGAAGAAATCGAACGAATTCAATCTAACCTGACCTGAAATTCGAAGCATCTAGAGTCAGTACGCAAAGAGACAGGGCGCAATAAATATCCGTGCGGAAACAAGTTAACAGAAAATTTCCGGCCGAGAGTTTCGCTCACGATCGGTCCTTGAGGAAAAAACATTATTGAAATACCGAATCACTATACTATGGGCTCCAGCAGTAAATGCCTTTACAGTATTTTTTTCGATTAATCACTTTGAAAAAAAATGGAAGCAATCCTCACCACAAGGATTAATTATTTCAACTACGAAATAGCCACAATGCTCAAAGTGGAATGAAATGTTAAATTAATACAAAAAGCTCAAAGTCATTTCCACACAATGTTCATAACATGAACAACAATGGAGGATTTCGGGAGAAAAACAACTACTTTCCTGGCTAATGCCACGCAGGACATTGAATTACATCCTCCCGGAATCTATGCATCGACTCGTATAAACTAATACTGATATACTGATGTTCTACTCAGATGGCGTTACTTTCATTTTGTCGATGAAAGACGCCTCGGGGTGAATATAATGCCGACTTGATTTTTGTTTGGCTAGGCTTCGCTAAGTCGGCGGTCTTAGGACTGCTGGCTGGAGACTACACTGCACTGATGAGAGTCAAAGAGCTCGAAACCAGTCTGTGGTTGTCTAGTGGCCTGGCTCATGCTACCAAACTCAATATTCCAAATTGGCCGCAAATTTTGTGTTTTCTAATAAACATTGACGCTATTGCGCTATAGCGTTTCCTTTCCAGGGAGTGTATCCATGTTGTTTTTCCAGGATCGGAAACCACATACTCCCACCAGGCGACACGCCAGCCAACCGGAGGCAGCGAAGCAACTGGTGAAGCTGAGACCGGCTTCTCGCGGCTCCATCAGCCGATCAGAAACTATAGACAGCAACTCCACGTCCGACATGACGTCCAGCGCCCACTCCAGCCTGTGTAGGTTACTAATGAAGAGCGAGCACTCGAGTCCGAGGTTGAAAAGGTTGCGTAAGATCGGCGGTTACAGCTATGATTCTGTTTACAGGAGAAATGCGCTGGCGAAGCGGGACAGGGAGATGTGAACAAAATTTGAATGGTCGGTCGGGCTACTCATGATCGACGAGAATATTGTCTTCCCTTTGAATGAGAAGAAGTCTAGTTACGTGCGGCCGTCTGTCTAGCCCTTTTTTTTTCAGTAATGTTAGTGTATCACCTTGGAATTCCATGAAGAAAGTTCCATTTGGATATTGCAAAGTCTTCTCTCTCTCTTCCTAATTGCATCTACAAGTCTAAATCGTCTCATCTGCCTCATCTAGGAAATGCCAATTTTGATGCGGTAAAGCCCATTCTACTTTGGATTAGTTGTACTGCAACTTCATGTGACTTCTGGCAATCTTCATTCGTTCATGTTCATTTGATTATAATAAACCAATTAGGCGTTACATCTTTGATCAGACTTTCTTTATCGGATACCGAGGTTCAGCCCTATTTTTTTCTAACTTATATAGATCGCGTGCACGATGACCGACCCTGGAGGCAAAATATTGAAACAACCTCACTCTTCTGTGAATTATTGAAACACAACCTCACTTTTTTTATTTGTTTACAGAGGAATCAAAGGATTGAAATAGTTTTTCACAATATTTTGGCATACAAATCGTGTTTTTTGCGCTATTCATTAATTCAAGCATGCCTTCGCATTGTGCTGTTGTACAATGCACAAAAAATCCAGCGAGAGACGAAGGAATATGACTTTTCAGGTAAATTGTAATATCACATAGTTTTCATTATGAAATGTTGTCATTCCTTATTGAAATTCCTTTTGCCACTTCTGCAATACAAGTTAATACTGCTAATAGATTGAAAATGTCTACAACACACATGATCTTATTTCGTCAGCATGTCAGACCCTCCCGTTTGATTGCATGAATCCAATCTTCTTGCATCATTCTAGAAATTTCACGAGTATTTACTATTAGCTCCTATTGCAGAATGAATTCCGATGAGAAGTCGGAGGAATTACCAAATTTCAAAAATGAAAACTATATGTGAGTGACTATAGTAGTTTTTAAATCATAATGTACCAACCGCATTCTTTCGTCTTCCGCTGCAGTTTTTGTGCATTGTACAACAGCACAATATGTGATGGCATGAGCGAATTAATGAATAGCCGAAAAATACGATTCCTATGCCAAAATAATTGTGAAAAACTATTTCAATCACTTGTAAACAAATAAGAAGAGTGAGGTTGTGTTTCAATGTTGTGCCTCCAGGGTCTGTCATCTGACAGTTCTTGCACGCAACCCATGGACGTTTGACATTATTGTAGCTAACCTCACAATGCGGTATGTCCAACCCCCCAAGGCATCAGTATATCATTATAAAGAGTTGCCATTATCTTGTTATCATCATTGATCTAAGTAGGTGATTATAGAACAAATTCTATTTATGTTCACACAGTTGTAATGACTTTGTTAACTCATGCGTCAACTCATTAATATTGGAAGAGATCGATAATTCATTATAAAGAAATAACTTATATCCTTATAATGGAAAATTTATCTTCCCTTAGCGCTTTTGTAGTCAAAGAATTTCCATGTAATAAGATATTTTCTCATTAAAAGGTCATCCATAAAAGTGATACTTTATGTTGTACTAGTTTGTATATGTATATATATATTTATGTCGAAAGTTTCGAACTGTAGGTAATTTGACGATGTAATTGAATGGAGAAAATTTACTTTTTATTAATATATTATGATTATATAATTTACCTATATTTATTGTACAAAAGATTGGAATAAAATGAAATGATATATTTTTCTTACTTTTGAGTTTTGAGTTCCATGATAATTTTATATTCAATTGACGCTGTTTTTTGGTGTTTTTGAAGAGAAAAAAACATTGAATTTACTACATTGAAAATATATTGTTTGGTTTTTGTCATGTGAACTGTAAGTCAGCAAACAATTTGATTTCTTAGTCATAATGAGGACTTGCAAGAAACCTGGCATATTAGGACGTTGATTTGGATATCAACATATTACATTTTGTGTGTTGAAATGAAATGAAACTCATCTTTTCTCATGAGAACCATATTATTTAGTTCAATCTAAGTGTAGGAACATAAATGTTTTGATCACCATCACTATATTTCTTTCACAATAATATATGCACACCAATACAGTGACGCGTCATAAGCACGATAGTAGGTTAGAGGTTAGTCACCAAGAAGCTTCATTTCAAATGCGCGGGAAAACTGACAAATGACCTTGAATTTTTACTACGATATTGAGTTCATTCATTGTTTTTCTCTCAATGTTGACATTCGACACTTTTGACAATTTATGACTTGTGAGTTTTCAGAGTATGGGGTTCTGACAAAGTGACTTATGAATCGTGCTACTATCCTACTAGTAACTTATCTCTGATTCTATGCTCCTCATCAGTGTTGCCAGAGCTGGTACATTTGTTTAGATTCAGTACAATTCATACCCTTTAGTACATTTCACCCAATTCTGGTACAATTTCATGTGTTGGTTAGTACATTCAGCTCAAGTTTATTTGTTGATCTGAATCTGAGACATGTAGCTACAAATAGAAACAAAAGTACTGATGACTGTCAGATCATCTGTTGGCCTGACTGAGCTGTTTATGGATATCAGCCAACCAGCAGGCTGACCATAATGAGAGACATCAACTTCAACTGTCAGTACAGCACTGTTTTCTGATGTTTTTTTGAATATTTAATGTACAATAATCTTTTATTATGGATGATGCTGCATATATTGCGTATCTTTTTAGCCTATATTTGGGGATATCACCGATGGGATATTTTCTTTCAGATTTTTTTTTATATTCAATGAAGCTAGTCATTTTTCTATAGATCGACACTGTATATGCTTTGTATCTTTTTGGCTATGTACCTGATGACATTTTTCATTTCATTAACATTTTTTTACTTTTTTTTATATAATATGATGAAGTCATTTCTGACAATGAGAAATAAAAATTATCGTTCATCAATTTTCTCATCGATTTTTCAATATTTCATGTCTGGTACATTCCACTCGATTTTAGCACAATTCAATAGTGATTTCAGTACAATTAGCTTTTTCTCTTCTGGCAACACTGCAAGGTGCAAGGACATCAAGATGGGTTAGATTGGGTTAGAAATTTATAAAGAAAGGAGTACAAACATGTCGCATTGGAATGGTGTTTCAGATTCCGGAATTTTACGAAAAACTCTCCCTATAGAAAATCACGATGAACTTCTAGTTTTTGGATACGCATGTAAACTGTTTAAAGATGATGAAAAAGCAATCTTTATTGATCAAGGCAAACACCTTATTCCATGGATGGGAGATGAAAAACTCAAAGTTGATAGGTTTGTATGTTTTTATTTAAGTCATTTCAAAATGTATACCTGAATGCTCATGTATACCATAACAATTAATCATAATATTCAGGTATGACTGCAGAGGAGCAATATCAGATCTCAGCAAGTATGAAGCTAGTAAAGAGGGTTATGATGCTACTAGATGGCTAGGGCTGAGCGAAAAGGAAAGACAACTGGAAGAACTGTGTGATAATGAGAGATATTATTCCTTGAAAATGAATGAAGAGGAGGAAGAGATGTATAAAGGTAATGAGCACTATCAATTTGTTGTATCATTGATGCAACATATTCATGTTATCAATTGCAGAAGAGGATTTGAAAAGGAAAAAGACCAATGCTATCCAATATAGCTATGATGTTCCTCAAAATCCAGAACTGAAGAATGATGGTATACCAACTGTACCAGAAGCAGATGAAATTGATGAAGAATATACTCCTCCACCTATTCTAGATGTACCTGTAGATATAGAGATGGTAAGCCTAATAAAAGTCAATGTTTCCATATGAGCATTGTTTTGATGACTAAAATTTCAGCCAGCAACTGTGAAAGAAAATGCAAGAATAGAGAAGACAGCACTATTTGTTTGCAGACAGGGCCTACAAATGGAAATCCTTATCAAAGCCAAGCAGGCAGATAATCCTCAGTTTTCATTCCTGAATCAGGGAGATCCTCTCTATAAGTTTTATAGACATGTTTTGGCTGCATTCAAGAATGGCAGGTATCAGGGATATGTAGCTAACACAAATAAAAAGGGTGGTAAGTTGAAGAATTTTATTTTTTTTCTGCTTAAACATTTGGGGCAATAGTGTATGAAGGGTTGTTTGTCTGTTTGACAATTGAATATTCACATAGAAATATTGAGAACACCTCAGATAATATATTGAAAATACTATCCATGAATAAGAAAAAACTTTTTCAAGGACCAGGTGACTTGGTTAGTTTTTTGGGTTTCAATGAGAAATGAGCATTCTGTTTCCAGATGTTTTTGTCAAATTAATTTTAGATTCCTTTATTAGCTATTTTTGATATACTTCTACAATATGGGTATCAAATGAAAGGGCTCGTTGAGAATAATTCAAAAAATAAGTTATTCTAAATCCAATATGGCGGATAATCCAAGATGGTGGAATGGTCATTTTCAATATACTTCTACAATATGGGTATCAAATGAAAAGGCTCATTGAGAGTAAATCAAAGAATCCAGCTAGTGATAACCAAAAATTAAAAAATAAATTAAAAGTAAAGAATAACTTTTTAATAAAAAGCTTTTATTTAAATGCTCTAAAAAGAAGAAAATAAAATTTTTCTTAATAATTTTAACTATCAGCTTATAACCTCATTATATACAATTTATATGATCATGAAAGCTTGTCCTGATGATCAATATTTGAATAAATTGTAATTTTAAAAACCTTATCTCAGCAGATTTTACATAATTAAATAAGTACTAGTTCATTCACACAAGTGAATCACGCTACAAACTTTTATGATCATATAAATTGTGTATAATGAGGTTATAAGTTGATAGTTAAAATTATTAAGAAACATTTTATTTTCTTCTTTTTAGAGCATTTAAATAAAAGCTTTTTATTAAAAAGTTGTTTTTCACTTTTAATTTATTTATCTTGAGATGTTGATAATTCCAATTGAATTAATCTTATCCCAGATATTATCTTCATAGAAATGAGAATGAAATTTTCAAATTCTGAGTGGTGAGGTTTTTATATCAGTCAAATTCCCTCGAAAAGTTGTATTATCTTTGAGTCAAATTCCTTAAAAAGTTATATTATCTTTGAAATAGTTTCTCTCAGGTATAGAACATAGATAAATAATACTAGTTAGCATGAGGTAGAAATCAAAGATATAAATCAGTGGTGCTACCAGATATATAAGGTGTTGGGAGTAATTTTGATTTTGAGTTTTCTCTTGAATTTTCTAGTTGAATGTTTTGATTCCATAAGATAACAGTTTCTGTAAGACAAGATGATTTTTTCATTTCACACATACTTATCTAGAACAATATTTGTAAGCTCACTATTTTGGATTTGGTGCCATTTCAATGAATTTTCCTAATTCATATGGTGCTTTGAGAATGAAGTGATATCAGTTCCACTTGTTGAATTTGTATAAATTCTCAAACTCAGTGCTTATGAAAAAAATTATTGATATTTTCAGTTTGAACACCATGTATTTCAAATATGGCTACTTTCATGGGAAGGATCCATAAATATTTGTCTTCCCTTGGTCTTCCCCTAGTGCCATTTTGGTATAATAAATTCCTACTTTTAGGGGTATGATTAATAACTTGATCATTAAAAAAAACTAAATTTCACTGTGTATTTTCCATTTTATTGAATAAAGTAATCTCTATATTTCTCCTATATTATTTACAATTTCAAATTTTGATTTCCAATTTGTTAGTTCAGTTCATCCAAATCAATTGGCTTTGGTAGTTCTGAAAGAAAATCCTAGAAAATAAATTCAAAAAAATTCACTAATTTATGCTTCTTAGTCGAAATCTACTCCCCAAAGCAACCACCTCAATAATTTGGATAGGGAATAAGAGTCCTTGCAAAGGTAATTCTGACACCAGCAGTGCAAACTTTTTTGAATTCCAGCAAGGCATTCTCAAGTTATTGGAGTTTAAATAGTATGTTATAATGAATGTACAGAATGGATTATTGAATGGTTATCCACAACAAATGTTCGAAACAGTGCCGGATTTATACTCCCTTACGCCGGAGTCTAACTTTTACGATGCCGCCGCGCCGCCGCCAAATAGTAAAGGACGCCCATTTATTCATGGAATAACATGCCTGAATGATGGTACAATATCATCTGGATCTCGTAGGATTACTCACCCTATATATATGAAATGAGTATGCGACGTTCTCAACATTAAATAATATCTGATATACAGGCAGATCCACGGTGGATGGCCTATTAGAAGTATCTGGAGAACGAAAAGATAGAACATTCTGAAAATTGGGATGCTTTGATCAAAGAATAGTAGGTTTGATAATTGAACATTCTCTATCCGTCTAAAATATTTTCATCGATACAGTGTTGCCACTTTTATCAGAAACAACTAGCAACTTCGTTATTTTAAATAGAGCACCCTGTATTTTATTGAATTTTTAGATTCTCCCTGAAAAGCTGATTTCATCAATGGATCACACTTTGGGTCTAGCAGGAACGATTACAGAGATATAGGGTGTTCAAAATCGAGATTTTTCAATTTCAGTATTTTTTTGTGTCGAAAGTATTCATTATTGATCAAAACGGCTTACATGTCCCTATCTTATCTTTCGATTCACTATCTACTGACATTTAATTGGAACAGATACAGGGTGATCAGAATTCTGAATCTTGAAGCACCCTGTATTTTTTCCAATCAAATTCCAGTAGATAGTCAATCAAAAGTTAAGATAGGGACATGTAAGCCGTTTTGATCGATAATGAATAGTTTCGACACAAAAAAATCCTAAATTTGAAAAATCTCCAATTTGAACACCCTATATCTCTGTAATAATTCCTGCTAGACCCCAAGTGTGATACATTGATGAAATCAGCTCTTCAGAAAGAATCTAAAAATGCAATGAAATTCAGGGTGTTCCATTTGAAATAACAAAGTTGCTAGTTGTTTCTGATAGAAGTGCAACACTGTATGGATGAAAATATTTTAGACGGATAGAGAATGTTCAATTATCGAAAAAACCCAATTTTCAGTATGTTCTGCCTTTTCGTTCTCTAGATACTTCTAATAATAGGTCATCCACCGTGGATCACCATGTATATATGACATGCTCTCCCCTTTCCGATTAAAAAAACTAGGGATTGACGTACCCCTATTTTCGAACCACCCTGTATATCGGAAGAAAATGTCAGTAAACTTCGATCGAGATTGAGGAAGTTTGTCTATAATGTCTATGCTTCAATTGGATCTTTAATTCTCATGAAATAACTTACCCTGATTGGTTTAAAATTAATCGAATTGGTTTTTTTTTGTTCACCCTGTTGTAGAGCCCAAATCGTAACATTATAATGGATACGAGATCCAGATGACATTGTACCATCATTCAGGCATGTTATTCAATGAATAAAAGGGCGTTTTATCAATTCTCGGGGTTGTTAACAATTCTGAGCAGAAAGCTTCACTTTCCATCTTTGACACCCTGTCTCTCAAAAACTAGTTAGTCGATTTCTTTGTGCCCTTGGACACTTTTGCTCAGCGAGTCAAAATCTACATCATACCAGAAATTCAGGGAATTTAACCGCAAGCCATTTTCCATAAAGAAAGTGCGGGGTCCTTTACCGCCAGTAAAAACTGACGCCACGATTCCATAAGTGAAGACAAGAGTTGAAATACGATTGGAAACTTCAGAAATATTAGTTATTCAATAATTAATTAATTCTCAATTGAGTATTGGTGATATTCCTAATTAGCAATAAAATTTCAATTGTCTCCAAATGATTCCTTATGGTTTGTGACTTATATTGCTTGTAATAAATTCGTGTATATAATAATTATATCAATTCACACTAGAGGGCATTTGAATCGGTGAACGTGACAACACGGGGCACGACTTGTGGGCGTTATCTTGTCAGTTTTCAGCATTCAGCATAATGTATCCATCATTTACACGATATTTTGTTATTCGTGATAGAAAATTACACGTTGCCCCACCTGATGGCAACGTTCGAACACTTCTGAGCGGTTTGTTTTGATGGAAGTGACCAATAAGCAGAAACAAAATGTGAACCAATGAAAACAAAGTGAACAGGCCGCTTTGACAGCTTCCAAATACTCCGATAGATGGCGTACGCTTATTTTCTATCGCGAATGGGGAATAAGAAATATTTGGACATGCTGGTTGCCCGAAGAAGTCAAGAATGCTTACATCCATTGTATCTGTATTAAATCCACTTCTGAATCCATCGTCATCCCATTCCTTTGATGTAATTTTAGATTTAGAAAGAGGAAACTTGCCATGCGTCTTTTTGGATTCCATTATTTCAATGTCTCTGCCTTTCAGCGAATATGATGAAGAACCATCCTTTGTGTTTGATTTATGAAATAACTCATATTCATGTATTGATTTAGTACCTTTGACACTGTCCAGTAGCAAAACAGTGAACATAAGAGCAATCTAAAACAAATTGTTGGATTTCATAAAAATTTAGTCGGGAGGAATATCAGTTTGGCAAGTAAATAGCAATCCTCAGTAGACCCACAGAGTAGACCTAAAAAGTTTGCTAGTCATATGTAGAGTTCCTAAGTGTACTTGACACTGCTGTTTTGACGTTTTTTGTATATTAGAGATATGATTAGAGTACGGACACTAGACAAGCAGTGACAATCAATCATAACCACAAACGATTTTGAAGCAAATCATATGTTTTGCCAGACAAGGACAAGAATATGTTTTCCGCTTAGATAAAGGATCCTCGCATCTTCCGTCCTCCACAAGTCCTGGGAAGAATACATCCATATATCTTTCTCTGTCTTTGATTTTTGTATGAGAGTGCATAGCGTCTCCTCAAGTGGGTAAAAGGGTACGATAAATTGATTAGAAAATTATTTCTTCAGGAAATATTGAATGGTAAGGCTGAAGGACCTCAATGGAGGTCGATATCAAGTTAGTAGATAATATATATCAACGAAATACATATAGTATTCCTATGAAATTAGTCTCTCATATTTAGGAATATATATTCGTTCAGTTGAATATTTGTTTATCACAAAAGTTCAGAATGGGGTAAAAACTGATGAATTTCAAGAAACATACTTTTATTTAGTGTGGAACAATTTCACTTGTACAAGAGTGGTAGGTAATAAGTAATTAATAAATTAACAAATGATATGGCAACAATAACAGAGTTCGTATACGAAGATGATCTAAAGAATTCTTGGTTGAACATAGATGTGAAATCAGTTTGTGTCGGTCAATTCAGGAAGTTGCTGCTATTTCATCATCAGATTATTGATGATGATCTCCATGGTGGCTATTGATGTGATCTCTGCTCCATCATTCCATCACAAGCAATAACCAGAGTCTAAATTGGAATAAGGTTCTTTTCGATACTCGCTCAGTTTATAAATTGTGTGTTCGGCTCTTGCTCTCAATACGAAACTATTCTTCAACTTCCTACCAAGAAATTCAAATACCTCGCAAATTTTGTGGCCTGAACCTATATTCCATGCCGGCTGCATCATATTCCGTTTCCATTTTTGTAGAATTATGGTATCCGATGGAAATTCGAATAGAGTAAGTTGATTTTATTGTGTTCTCACAGTTGGAAACTGCACAAACTTGCATCTTTCTCCTAATTCTCTCAATTTGTCAATCCTTTGAAATTCTTGTCATGTACGTCCGTGAACTGTCAGTTCCCGCTTTTTCCATCAATTTATTTGTGGTTATGTATGATTGTCAGTGCTTGTCATAGTGTCCGTACTCTGATATACAAAAAACGTCAAAATCAGCAGTGTCAAGTACATTTAGGAACTTAGTCATATGGTTGCAAATATTTTCCAAATTTAGGCAAATGTATTCATTAAATAATGACATGACTGAATATGTAAGTTACCTGTGGGCAAAATAATGTGTTTTTATGTCTCTCAAATTTTGCGTGTCCTAAAGTACTACAGATAGAAAGTAGGTTGAATTGAAAGAAGATTCTATCTGTGGAAACATGTTATCTTTCTTAATTTATACCTTTTGAGCAGACAATGAATCCAATATTGGTACACAACCTAAATGAGATGGGTAAAAACAAGCCTGATTATAGATCTAAATATGCCTGGTCTGAACTGGTACATAATAAGCATAATATAAACTGGTAAATTCACAAACTAGTTTTTTTTTCATATAGAACAAATTTTCAAATTTGAATACTCACAAAACATTTCTTGTCATTCATGTTCATAACTTTCATTCATTTATCTTGGTAGAATAAACTCATGGCAATTGTTATTTAGGTTAACTAAATTTTGTATTGATATCAGTCGCTTTTTATCTTCATTTAAAAGTATTGCTCAAATTATTAATATTCATGATCATGAATGACGAGAATATCAATACCTTTTCCACTACTATTATAGCAATGATATTATATTAATATTATAGTTTATGGCCCCCAAGCTGATTCAGAGATGTTCTTTATAGGACTCAACTGTGACATTTTAGAACATTAACCCATTAAATACCACCATCAAACTCACTCAGGAAAAATAGTTTTATTTTGTTGAAATATATTCATTGGACCACAAATATCGATGTATTTTAAAATTGAAAATTTTCAATCAAATACCGGAAAAAAATAGAATTGCATTTTCGCAATACTGGCAAGTACGACATTACCATTTAATTATTTCTTGTGTGACAAGGTGAAACACTTGATGCAGAAGAATACTCTACACTTTGTATATATAATATGACTTTGTACTTCTACTGGACTGTTGTACTTCCTCAAGAAAAACGATAGTCATTTTCACACCAGTGAATAATAGCGGTGAATAACCATTATTCACTGGTCTAAAGTTCCTTATAATATGTTAGATCGCGTACCCTAGGAGCTATAGACCAGTGAATTATGGTTATTCACTGCTATTATATTATTCACTGGTGTGAAAAATGGCCTACAGTTTTGCTTGAGGAAGTACATGTATTATGAATATTTTATACAACATTCGTGGATAAAGAAACCGATACACTTCGAAAGTCCAAATTCAACGCGGTACCTAATTGAAAATTGTATCATTATCTTATGCAGCGGTAGAAAAAATTTGATCATTTTCAGCAATTTGAGAATTTCGAGCATTTTGAGCATTTTCTCCTTTCATTATGGTTGAAAAGTTTGACTTACACAACTGGTTGAACAGATTCACAATTATACATGACGGTTACGACTGAATTGTCATCCCAGCGTGCCAAACTGTTTTTATTGAACTTCTCTGTTTTTCCTCAAAGATTTTTATGGTTCCACAGGTCATCTGGCCAACGGATTCTCTCTCACTGTACCTGCTGGGCAAAATCCTAATATTTTCAGATGGACATTAGTGCGTGACTAGTGAAGACATTGTCATAGCTTACTCTGTGATGAGAATTTGAATTTGAAAATGAGCGTACACCACCTAGCAGGGTATTTTAAAGATCGATATAGTCCTTGTTTATATTCGATTTTTCAGATGTGCTATTCATCAGACATCAGAAACATTGCCGTCAGGTGGAGCGACATATTATTTTCTATCCCGAGTAGTCACAGACCGTGTGAATCACAACCATCTCACAGCACATCCCGCCTATATTGCGTTGTTGCAACCTCAAGATTATATGTTAAAACTTCACAAACGATAAGATTTTTACAAAATTCTTAAACACACACCATGTTTCGCTAAAACAGTAGCTTCGTCAGGTGATATACTGGTACAATGAACTAAACCAACCTTGGCTTGCTTAACTTTTCTATATCCCGACTCCCGTACACATGCATATGCATAAAATATGATCTATTAATTCGATTCTCAACTACTAACATAGAAAATATTACTTATTTCAATTGGGTGTTATCACCTATGTTTCATTTGTTTTTTAACATCATCTAGACTACTTAATGGTGCGCAAGCGAATGCTATCGGTGCAAGCCTCATCTCATCTCAAGATTTCATCAGAACGAAGGAAACCTCGGAAAATTTCATTACTCATTCGTATTTTTTCATTTTTTTCAGAAGAAATGAATAATTCTGCAGATCAAGACACCAGCGGCCATTACTTGCATCCTAGTTTGTCGTCCAATCCCGAATCGGTAGGTGTATTAAGCGTTATCGTCATTGCGTTTAATAGAGACTTTTTTCTTGTAGTAAGTGTAAAACATTCGTGTATTGCATTGTGCATCGAAAGGGGTTTGAATAAAACTATTTTATATGAATTGAAATGTTCTTTTAATTGTGTGGAACTACCTATTAATGATGCCATTTTTCTGTTCACAGGTGATTCGGTGTTTTCGGTTTTTTACAGAAATCGCAAGTATGGTGGAGGTGCCTGAAGCTGCTACTATGTAGACGTCACTAGATATTGATTTGAAGATTCTATCTTCACGACGTGAAATTATAATGACTTTTCATCATATATTGTTGAGCATGACGAAAAGAACCAGACACGTCAAGAAAATAATCAATTTCAATCATTTCAACTGAGATGTGATTGAGTATTTTCAGAGGAGTCAGTATATTCAAGTTCAACTGTTTGTCGATTCGAACAGAATCTGAACTCCAAATAAGCTAGAAAGAAGCTCTAGTCCTCCACGTTTTCAAGATGGCGCCCTAATAATTTTCATGGAATATCTTCATGTCATTCTGTGACGAAATAGTTATTGGAAGAAAGGAAATTGAGAGGGGAGAAATGCCAAGTCATGAAAAGACTTTAGTACCTAATCTTGTGAAACGGGTTTTCAAATGCGGATAAAGTGGATTTTCTATGTGATAATCGGCATTACTTGAAAATATATAACATACGTGGCTCAGAAAAAAAATTTTTGTGGAGTATCTCACCATATTATTGTACATAGAATTGAGTTTGAACAATGATTGTTGATAAGAATTGGCTCTATGAAGTTTTGCATCGTATATCAACGCGTTTGTTCCCCTTACACATCAAATGTTTCATATATGGTGATTTAAAAGAACAAAACCATTCAAATTTGCCCTATTGCAACTTTCCTGTATGAGATAAATATACAATATCGCCTCCGGGAAGTGATTTTTTTCGTATTTGCTCTTCTGCAACTATACAGAGTGTCCTATAAGTCATGGAACAAAAGAAGTGGGATGGGAGAGGGAGTCATTTGCAATCGAACTTACTGTATATGTGATAAACAATTTGTCAATGGTTCAAAAGTTATTAAATTTTTCTGAGAAACTCGACCCATTTGAAAGAATTAATAAAAGAAAGGCTGTTTTGAGTAACCCCATATGTTATACCATTTTGGAATCTGTATTAAATGGGCAACTTTTAAAATTGGTTATCTTTGTAGGGTAGTTTTTAAATCTGTCAGCGGCATTTAAAAATCAACTGAAATATTTCATTCAATGACAAAACTAAATTTGTCTTTGGTAACTGATATGAAGTAACAGACAGGTCATTAAATTCATTTTTGGGAGAAGGTGCATCAATGCGGATGAAATTTGTGATAAAAAAAATCACATATGTAACATAGTTTTATTGTAATCAATTTTTTTATAGGAATGAAAAATTAAATAACTGTTGAACCATCAACAATTGGATAGCGACATATACGGTTATATTTTCCATACACTGTTTTCCCACCAACCAAACCGATTTTTTAAACGCCTTGACACGTGTTATTCTTCAGGAGAAGATTAGAACAGTTTTAATCTTCTCCTGAAGATGCTGACATAGTTAGCGAAACACGTGTCGAGGCTTTTAAAAAATCGGTTTGGTTAGTGATAAAACAGTGTAGTGTATTATCGTGCCAAAGGTTCCAGTCTTGGATATACGGTTATATTTCGATTGGAAATGACACTCTGTATACTTACTCCCAAAAAATTATTACAGGAAGGTATTTTTCAATTACTTATGAAAAGTATCTACATGCTCTGTCCTGGATTTTTTTACTCCCATTATCAGTGTGTCGATTAACACTATAGTGAAATGAACACAAAATATCCCAATTTCCTTAGTTTGGGTTGCAGTAGGTATGTCTCTTTTATGACAAAACATCCTATATATCAAACAATTGTCATTCACACGTCAGAATATTATCTCCCTGCTTACTATGCAAGTTACTTACTCATGTTAAATACCTGTGACGACCTTGTCTAATTGTTATCTTATTTCCACCTATGATATATCAAAACACATTAGATAGTCCCCATAAATATGAAACATGAATTATTTCCTCAATGAGTCATATTGAATCTTCTCTGTCACACTCATTGGACATATTTGAGAGTATTTCGTTCGTGTTCGTGTCTTCATATTCATTTAATATTCTTCTATCATCAGGTATCCTTGAATTTGTCATTATTATCCTCATCCAGATACCTCATGAAAAGTAAACTGGATATAAATTAGGAAAGAAAAGTCCATTTGATTATGTATTTATTTAGATATCCATCACCCTGTTTATGTGATATATTCAGTAAAAATTGTTCATCAATTACTGAGATTACCGGAATATTACAAACAATTGTTTATCAAATTTTGCTCACAAACAGTCATGCAAACATAAATAGATACTAATAATTATCATCGTCTTTTAAACATTATGAAAAATTTCTGAATTTTCTATACCATGTTTGATTCTAACACGAAGGCTTCTGTTTCTACCAGGGACGATCGATTTCAAATCCCCCCACCATTGTGACATGCATAAAATGTATATATATATATATATATATATCGATAATGGTATAAATATAAGAAAACCTCTAATGGACCTTTCCATCCCGTTTATTGGTTTCAAATTGCGACAGTATTGTTCACACTCATTCACAGGATGTTTATAATAAACAAGAGGCCGAGAGCAAGCATAGTTTTGATTTCAATGCTGTCTAAAATGTCTTCGAATGCACTGACTACAACTTGGATACATACCAATCTTAAAAGAAGATCTTGGAAGCTATGTACTGCCGATGGGCAAATCCCTTTTCAAAAATAACTCGAATTTTATTGTCAAACAGGAACCCCCAAGCCTTCGGTGAAATGCTCGTATTCGCATATAACTCGGTATAAATGTAAAGAATCTCTGATGGACCTTTCCATCCCGTACCTTGGTATCTCTCAAAGCGCTACATTAATGTATGTATGTGTAGATAAGGATGATGTGTACACTGCGACCCATGTAATACATTATGCCCCCTCTTCTTTCTGTGCGTCCTTGGACTCAATTATAGCTATTCTTCTAATCGCATTCTCCTCAAAAAGTTTCGGATATGGAATGGATAGATCTCCTATTTCATATGCTCCTAGGCCTAGCACTCTTGCGTTGCCAAGGGTCACACAGTTCGAGAGGATGTGGATGAAGGTTTTTGTCCTCTTCCTCACAGAATCTGCATTCTGATCCCTCTACTACCCGGAATTTCTTCAAATGTCCTCTCAATCGACTGTGTCATGATTAGACTCCAGCTAGTATTCGGATCTTATTATTACTTAGGTTGACGCATTCGGTAGCAGATCTATTCTGATTGTGGTTTCCCAGGAGGGACTTCGCTTGTCTCATTGGCTCTCTTAAGATACATTTATTAATATTATTCCCCAACTATTGTTGTCGTGCTGGTCCCACAGAAATGTTTCTTGTCCCATGAATGGTGTTTTTCCCCCAGTCCGGTAATTCCCGGAACCCAGAGAAGGGTGACTTTATTTGCTTTACCTAGATCGTTCAGTTTTCCTAGTTGGTCCTAGAGTATCTTAGAGCTGACAACATGCGGTCTCAGACCTTTGATAGCTGCTTGGCTATCAGACATGATGATCTCTTGTCTGCGGTAGTTTCGACACATTTTTCACTGGAACATATTGGTATCGGTGTGGATGGTAACAGATGCGCTGCGACCAGATTAGATCTATTGTGCCCCACCTTCTTTTGCTATTTCTAGGTTTTTTTGTTTATAGTAGCCCCTCAAGCTTCAATTCTTCTCGGAATTTGAGGATTCTGAGGGGATCTGTTTATGGTATATCCACCACGGTCAGCTGGAATGCTCCCAGTATATTCGACCTTTTGTGGTGTACAGCATAACACTCCCTGCAGAATCTGCAGGTGCTGTCCTCTAAGCCTAGTTTCCTTAGATGTTCTTTTAGTCTATAATGCACTGTTAGAAATCCCGTTATTGCTTTGAGATTAATTTTTCTGAGGTTGATCAGTGTTCTCGATCTTTTTCGGTTGAAATTTCCGAGGAGTCTTCGTCAGTGTGTTACTCTCGTTGCTTCTTCAGCTCTATTAAGTTCCTCTTGGAAATAAGAATTTCCAATGACGCAGAATAGTTATGGTCCGATTAGTGGCGTTGATGCACCCCCTTCGTTCCAGAGTGTCTGCTTGTTCATTTCCCTCCACTCCGAGGTGCCCCGGCACCCAGAAGAGGATTACCTCATAGATTGGCATATACATCTGCCAGAAACATATTTGGGGATTTGCCCAAGATCTAGGCCCAAATACTCCAATCCCAGTACTCAGCTGTGTTATATTGCTCCCAATCATTATTACACCTCAGCTTCATGTTGAAGTACTGTATGTATGAAATAAAGAAGAGGCCACAAAAAGCATAGTTTTAGTTTTGATGTGGTCTCGAATGTCTTCGGCACGAACTGACTGCGACTTGGATCGCGTACCAATCGAAAAAGAAGAGCCTGGAAGCCATCTTCTGCCGGTGGGCGAATCCCTGTTCAAAAATAATTCGAAGTTTATTGTCAAACAGGAACCCCCCACAGCGGTAACAGTACCACAAATCCAGTACAAGCCCTCCATCAATTGCTCGTACTCACAGCTGGTGAATCGCATCCAGGGAAGTCAGAACGATGGCGGGGAAGTCCAGAAGACCGCCAATCCAGACTTCTCACAAATGACGTACGAGCAGCAGCAGCAGTACTACCATTACTACTACGCTCAGCAGTACTACGAGTACTACAAGCAGATGGCGGTGTACCAGCAAGGGCAGGGCGGAACTCCAGGTGGGAGCAATAGATAGACAACATGATTGAACATTCTGAACGACAAATACGAATTGTGAATGAGATATTACTCCGCGGAATCATGGGCAAGGAATCGAGGGCATGCCATCTATATTTCAATAACGATATCCATTTACTTCACTATAATTCACTCAAGGTTTTAGTAAAGCTATTCAATGAGTACTTACAAACCTTTATTCAAATGGGTACACACCGAGATAGTTTAAGGCTCGGTTTAAGAGTAGCTGAAATCACAAGACTATTCGAACATCACAATATTCATTGCAGCATGGGTAGTGAGCAAATATAAATAAACAACAATAAATATAAAGACCTTACTAATGATACCTATCATGTTGATTACCATTTGGACGAGTTCTTGTCAGACCAGATTACTTTGGAACCCTCACATCCAATTTATTATAGGTTTGCACGTTTCTCATGAGAGTTTCTTGATCATTATTCGAAGTTCCAACGTGATGCGAACTTACTGATTTAGTGAATTATTGATGTATTAGATATATACCATTTTCTACTCGTGACATTCAAAGTTTTGACATTTCAGTATTGGCATAACGCAGATGCACCAACCATATACGTATTAATAAACAATACGGATCATAACGGGTGCCAGGATGAAGCCAAAAATATGAAACAAATGAATATCCATAAGGATTTGGTGGCATGATACGCATGCGCCATGCGCTATTATAGTAGTCATCAAAGACATGCGTTTCGGTGGACAATGACGTTTACTAGCCTTTCAATCAAAGCAGTATGTGTCTGATCGTTTCAAAACTTTTCCTTATGGATAGTCATTTGTCTTCAAAAATCGGCTTCATGTTTCGCTATGGAAACAGATAGAGATTATCCGTATTGATTATTAATACGTATATGGCACCAACATGATTTGTAACCAGTCAGAATAACTCATCAGAAAGCTGACTAGACTCCTACAATCAGAATGAAGCTACTTGAGTAATCAAACTTCAATAGTATCGCTTCTACAGTGGTAGATCTTTTTAGGTTGATAACTTGGGGCGAAGTCTGTACTGATGAAAAAGAACATTCGTCATTCGAAGACAGAGCAAATAGTCGAGGAAGTAGAACTCCTCGAAAGCAATCCCCAATCTTCTTCCATCAGATGAAACGATGGCGAAACAGTGACGGTGTCTAATAGATGATTGGCACCACTTCCAATTATCAATGACACTGATAGAGATGTATTGAAATGTAACTGGTGGGCTCACTCTTCAATTGTTTCGTCAGACTAACTCTCGATATGGAACAATTGCAAGCGAGTTTTGGACGTGGGGTTCAGGTATTTGCGATAGAGGCGCCATAATCGGAAAATCGTTCAAAACCTTGGTTCTGTGAGGGATGAATCTATTTCCATCATTGTTCTGTGGTCGAATAAATACTGTGCTCAACCTTTTCATTCAAATTTCAATTTGAAATAGAAGCAAGAAATCTTTTTTGTAGCCGATTTTAATAAGCTTCACTTCTTTCATGACATGAACCTATTTAAAGCATGAAATCTGATGATTTTTCTCATTGAAGAACCAGAACAAAGAATGTATCAACTAATGAAATAGACCAATATCGAAAATCATAATAGGCAGATATAGTAACTGGTACCTTAGAATTTATTCACACCAGTTCACGCTAATATTTCAAATCACTGAAATAATACTGTTGTAGAACAGAGATTCTCTTTTTTCTATGGTGTATTAGGTATTATACACAAAATTTAGAAACTACGGAACACGTCCCCAACGAACACTTGACCCCAATCTCAGAAATAACCATTTTTTCAGCTCAAGAATATTATTGAAATATTGACGTTTCGATTATTCGATCAGGAATCAGTTCACTGCTCTGATCCAAATCATATACGTATCCAAATATTTATCGGTCGGTAATATGTTTCCTGTAAATATGGATTGTAACCAGGATGAGCTTAGCGAGATTTACCTACGTCAAGTATGTTTATCAAAGGATTATCAGAGTAGGCGCCATCGAGAAACTTGCAAACGACCTTCAATAGGGAGCAAGCGCACCAGTTAAATTTCTTTACATCTCTACACTGATCACTCTGAGGAATGTCTTCCTTCTGAAGAAACTGAACAACTCAGTTTGCCAGGTTCTTCAATTTTGTCACAGGAGGAATCTGATGAGGCACCGGCAGAGTTCGAGGAACCCCGGAGGTCTCAAAGGAACAGAAAGCTCCCTGCTTATCTCCAAAATTTCGAAGTGGACAATGAAAAATCTAGAGGGGAAGAATGATATGAATCTCCCTGTACTGTCTCGTTAGATTTTACTCAGTTGTCAATGTCACGTCTTGCATTTATGATTATGTCTAGTTCTTTAGTTGATTAAAGCCAAGTTCTTCGTTGGTAATTCGTTCATTACCTATCAGTCTCCCATTTATTAAATTCAATTTACATCTGTAGAGTTTTTCGTACAGTCGAGTACGTCTTCAAGCCGTCTTTTATACTTCCTGGGATGTAAAAACTTTAATCAGATTAAAAAAGTACTCCTTTCAAACGTACATTTTTATATACGCGAATCGGGCTCATAAAAACGGGTAAAAATGCACTTATCATGCGATGGGTTTTTTTTCGAAAATTTTTTTTGGTACTTACTTATTTTCGTCTGAAAAACACGAATTTCATAATGAAAATGTGAACAAACCACTATTTATCGAGATAAAGTTACAAATTTCACCATCTTTTCCGCCTGTCTTCTGGATCACATTTAGAACAATTTGCCCTTCTTTTTCCATAATTGGACAATTTATATATATCACACAATGTTGGACACATTTTTTTATTATATGAGTCAACTAGAAATATGATTTTCTTGTGATTTATCCATGTTTAGTGAAAAGAAGGAAGGATATCATTTGAAATAATGGCGTGTGTAATGTCATTCCAAAGCAATCTATTGACATTTGACATCTCGTATTTGGATTGCATATGGATTAAATGGCCGTCATATGGTATGCTTGCTCACTAAATAGGAAAAAGTCGTCATAAAAATCATATTTCCTGTTGAATTTTCTATCTTAAAATGTGTCAGTGAAGTACATCATGAGTATATAAAGTGTCCAATGACAAAATAATAAGAGCAAGTACCTGTAAATGCATCCAACACAAGGGGGAAAAGAAGGCAAAATTTCGAACTTTTTCTTGAAATATCTCGATAAATAGTGGTTTGTTAACATTTTCATTATGAAATTCGTGTTTTTCAGACGAAAATACGTAAGTACCAAAAATATTTTTCGAAAAAAACCCCATCGCATGATAAGTGCACTTTTACCTAAAAACGTCTCATGTTGATCTCTGAGAACATTCATGGTCACACCCAGGTCAGTTCGTCCCTCCGCCGGACATCCCGAACCTCGACCCGAACATGCAGGCCTACATCCAACAAATAGCCTATCAGCAGTACCTGCAGCACCAGTCCAACAGCAGCAGTTCATACGCCCAAATCATCTCGAACATAAGCAAAGACGGCACCGCCTACACGCCCCAGTTGGCTCAAACGACTCAATTGTCTCAAACGACTCAATCAGCTCAAACGCCTCAAACGGAAAAAGCTCTTGTTGTCTACGGCCCAGAGGCCAGACCGCCAGAAGACGAGCGAAAAGTGACCATAGTCAAGGACAAGCCCGAGGTTGTGGTCAACAAGCCGCTGTTGTCTCTGGCTGATTATAGTTCAGCGTCGGACAGCGAATCTGAAGATGATTCGGACGAGGAGAAACCACCGGTACAGGAGGAGAAAGAGGTGTACAAGGTACTGTGAATATGTTGGGTTTGATTGGAATGTTTGATATTCAATTTTTCGTCGGTCTCTACAAGAAATCACATTTTACGCTCTAATTTTCGAACGAAAAACCGAACTGAATAGGTCGCGTGCACGATGACCGACCCTGGAGGCAAAATATTGGAACACAACCTCACTCTTCTGTGAATTATTGAAACACAACCTCACTTTTTTATTTGGTTACAGAGGAATCAAAGGATTAAAATAGTTTTTCACAAAATTATGGCTACCGAATCGTGTTTTTTGCGCTCCTTCTTCTCAAATATATGAAGAAGGATCATATCTTCACAAACGTACTGACCTAACTTGAGCGTAGCCCCGTTGAATTGTCTATCAAATGCTGTTTCTATCAAATGTATTTTCTATCATAAAACATTCGATCAAATGCATTTCGATCAAAAGACTTCTATCAAATTTTTTTCTATCATTTGTCTTTCGATCAAATTTCCGCCACCCGTGAACAGGACCGTGATGTGAATATAAGTGTTCGAGGTCGACGAAAAAATGTAAATGCACCTCGGCCATACTTGGAAATTGTGGAATTCTTTTTCATAAGCTGGACGAGGTTTCTTGGGCAACAAATCATTTGATGCCGTTTGGGCGAATTCCCTCAGTTCGGGAGGGGTGCAACTCAAGTTTGCCTCTTGAGTCATTCTCAAAACATTAAATTCAGAATCTCGATAGACCAACAGAGGCAATTTTGAGTAACAATGCATAGAGACTTTTCCGTTGGTCGTCTTGATTTCTATCGAATTTAGGGCGAAAAACATACACTTGTCACTCACTTCTTTTTTTCAATGAACTCAGAATTATTTCGCGTCATGACGTCGTACTAATTGTTTTGTATTTCGTGATACGGTGTTCGGACTTTCTCCATGTGGTAGGCCTATGCGGAAGTTGACAATGGTGTCGGGGTATATTTCGATTTAGATTTTCGATATTTAGTGCCGTTCTCGAGATATTTGAGGAAATATGAATATCGGGACTTTGAAAAATTTCATCAAAAATAATACATTTTCAATTTTTTTTCTAGTAAAGAGGCATTTTTGAGTAACAATCTATGGAGACTTTTTCGTTGGTCGTCTTGATTTCTATCGAATTTTGGGCGAAAAACATACACTTGTCACTCACCTTTTTTTATTCAATGAAGTTAGAATTATTTCGCGTCATGACGTCGTACTAATTTTTGTGTTTTTCGTGACTTTCAGACTTTCTTCATGTGGTAGGCCGTTGCGAAAGTCGACAAGGGTGTTGGGGTATTTTTTGATTCAGATTTTCGAAATTCATTGCTTTTCTCGAGATATTTGAGAGAATATGAATATCGGGACCCAAGAAGATTTCATCAAAAATGATACTTCTCCGATTTTTTCCTCCCAGTTTCAAATTATATCACTGGAATATTGATGTTAATCTGCATTTTTTTTTCAACCATCTGTCAAAGTGAATGTACATTCAAATGTTTTTTCATTGTTACCAACTATACTTTACTTCGTATCTCTCTGATATTTGATGTTTTTATTGATGGAATTTTTCGAATAAAAATCGCAAATGAATGCAAAATGGAAAAATAGTATAATATACTATTTTATTACTCAAAAGTGTTTACTCCGATTTTGATGAAACTAGGTATGTTTGTTAGCAGCAACAAGGGGCTTATTTTTATGAAAAAGTTACTCATAAAAAACCTATTTTATAGTCGCACTTTGACACCACGTTACTCGCAAACGTCAATATGAAGGAATCGCCCCCTGAAATCATTGACATCACTTAAGTTACACCCTGTATACAAAATACTCTATAGGTACCGACCGGCGAAATGCTAGCGGTCATCGACAAAATGGCGGTGTACGTGTCGAAGAATGGGGAGCAGTTCGAGGAGATCGTGAGGGCTAAGAAGGATCCGAGGTTCGAGTTCTTGAATGGCGATAACGAGTTCAATAGGTACTACAGGGAGAAGATGAAGGAATTGAAGGGGGAGATTAGTGCAGAAGAAGAAGGGGACAAGAAAAAGGAGGATGGGAAGGCAATTAACGAAGTTGAGAAGGATGAGAAGAAGGTAGATGAAGAACATGTCGAGGAAGTTAAGGTGGTTAAGAAGGAGAGGAAAGTTATTGGTGAGTTTTGATTTCTTGAATATTTAACCAAATACAAAAATATACCCACTGTTTCAGTGAAAAATTTAATTTTATTATTTCAAAGTACTAACCTCAACTAGTTCACTGTCGCAAACCGTTTTTTCCCAGAGGTCTGTACATTTTTTAAATAAATATTGAAATTCACGATATTCCGTGACATGAAAAAAGCGGGAAAGTGCGTGACGTAATCATCCGAAAAAATTCGACATACGTATCTATTCTCTTTGTCTGTAAGACAAGTGCAAGAATATTTCTGATAGTCCTTTCAATCAAAATATTAAAAAAAGTTAGCCTCCTCAGAATGTGCTCGCCCTAGACTCTAGTGAATTTTCTGGACCGAATTCTTACTGCAGATAACAGAGAACACACAACTGAAGAATCAGATAATCAAAGGAATATCTCTGAATATTCGCATCTTGACTGAAACAAGAGTTTCGTTTTATTTGTTCCATTCTGGTAGCGGTGGTGGGAACAGAATGACGTTTACAAATAAAACGAGAAACTTCATAACCTTGCTTGAGAGAATTTACATAAGAGGTTATATTTGTAAATGGGAGATCCAAATAATTTAAAAGGCATAATACTAAAGTTAAGAATCTAGAAAATGAATCAACTAATATTTGGAAAGGGTTCGTTTTTCGTCAATCTAATTTGACACCTGTCAACAGTCATTCCACATCATTCCTTGTAGTGAGACGGAATGGAAAGTAGCAACTGGAATCGGAAACGTTGCAAATAAAACAACATATCAAACTGATTCCGGTGGCGGAATCGGATGAATAAAACGCAACTAAGGATTTGAAGATGAAGGTGACGTTAGGAAATTCTTCTTCTTCTTCTTCCTTTCGATTTGTATGGCCTTAGCTACCTGGGCTATCTGGCCAAGTACACGCATCAATTTTAATATTTTCTACTGGGGTCTACCGTGTGGCAGGTCTGGGGGAATCCCATGCCCCGTATAGAGGTTCCTATAGGAATTAAACAGTTCTAATAGTTTTTCGCACTTCACCTCTACATGCACCACATGCAACAAGGGAAATGATACTGCAAAGCATTATCTATACTAGTTGAAGCAAACAAAAGCAACACATTAGCAGGCAACTACTTAGTCTCTCAAAGCGATGACCGAAGCTACTACTTATCACTTGAAATGAAATAATAACAAAAGAGTGACGTTAGGAAATTAGGTTGACAATGTAGTTCGTCTTCTTCTTCTCTTCTGGGAACCTAGGCATAACGCTGTTGCCAGTGCTACAAAATAATTTGGGTTTAAATGAAATTTCGATCATTATTAGGAATACTGGGATATTTTTATTGGTTGCAAGTATATAAGTATTCAATAAGTGATTATTAGGGGTGACCCGATACCATAACTCATCCGGACGATTCGTATTAGAATATTGTGAGGAATCATCACCTGAAGTTTCTCAAAGTATTTTTGTATCACCCTGTATAAAAAATTGATATTTTGCAGCACCTGTGAGTTTTTCAATAAAGAAAGCCAAAGAAGATCACCCTAAAGAATTGAAGAGCGCACTGCCGGTGGAAGAGAGCGACGATGAGGAAGAAACAGAAGTGAAACCGACTACATCGGCCGCTCTTCCAATCACAGAAACTTCTGCAGCAACCACAGATAATACGTCAAAACTTCCCCTGACTTCGGTCTTGATGAAGTTCTCTGAGAATCAGAAGAAAATTGAACAAGAGAAACCGATCGATAGGGAAACTCCGGAAAAAGATGAAAGTAGCACGGTTACTACTGCTGAAATTGAAGTGTCAGAAAATAATGAAGATGCGAAGACAAATAAACAAAAACAAGAGAAGAAAGTGGAGAAGAAAATTTTGATAGACGATGATCCTATTTTCGAACTAATTGAATTGACAGACGATATAGATGACGACAGAAAGGATAATCACGGTGAGTTGATGAAACGCATTATCCGCGGGAATCAATGTCACCAGGTGGCGCTCGGTTTTCATCGTTCCATGTCAAAGCCACGTCAAAACTGGGGGAAAACAAACTCAATCCTCACTCAATCCCCTTAGTGCCATTAGCTTGTGTACTGTGTACTGATAAGAGTGATGTTTTTAAATTTCTTGACATCAATTGTCAACATTCGGTCGATAACGCTAATAATGCCTGTTGGTAGATGTTCTTTTGGCAGATATTTTGCTCTATTTAGACGGAAAAAGCCGACCAATAGTGGAAGGAGAAGCAGTTCTCCGTGCTAATCATGTGATTTTGTGTAAGGCAGAAGACTCCGACAAAAGGCACATTTTTGCACTTTGTCTACAAACTTCGGCGATGAAATCTTCCACACATGAAGTAAAATTGAAGTTGGGGTCCAGAGGAACTCCTGTAGAACAATGGATTTGTATTTGTTCATGCAAAGCAGGACAATCTGGGTATTCTGAACATGTTGTAGCTGTTCTTTTATATGTCAATTGATTTGCTCGTCATGATTAGTTTGAATTGTTTAAACTATATCCAATTCTTTACCTGTTCACTGTTCACTAAACTAATAAAAATGTAATAATGTAAAAAAATTAACCAACTCAACCATCATCACTGCCAACAGTGCCAAAACTTTATGTCATTTACAAGTTTGACAACTATAGCTACAGCAAGCTGAATGCAATGTCGTCTATGCACTTTATCCATAGACAACAGTTTGTTTTCCCCCAGTTTGAAGTTCGTATTATGTAACCTAGATGTCGCCCACTTCGTGAATCTCGCGAATTTGTGAACAGAAGGATGCAGTATTTTGAATACAAGGTTTCTATAAATTATCATGGCATTGTAGTGACCGTTCGAATATTTTATTGACTTACCACTTCCCTCTTATGGAAATCGAACTGTAACACATTTGGTTGCTTCCATATCTGTCAATAACTTGTACAAAGAATGATTTCAACATCCACTACGATGCTACGGCCATTGATAGAAACCCTGTGGTTTGCAAACAATTATTTTAGTCTCAGTCAATAACCTGTTGGATGATTCGATTTAAAGTATCACTCCCAAAACTCTTTTTATATTTAACAATACTAGCGAAGCCGAGCGAAAGCAAAATTTGCGAGTCGAACAAAGTCACTTTTGATCCGAATGAAACATGCTATTTTTTCTGCAACCGAAACAATTAACTCAAATAAACATGTGAAGTAACCACCAATGCCGTGCCATATGTATGCAATGCAATGCAACAAATATTGATAAATAATCCATGTGGTGAGAATATTTTTTGCATTAACAGCAGGTTAGGTTTTCTAGGATGTTCGAATTGTAGTTTCAATATAAATACAACCACAGAGTGACATATTTGTGTATGGACCAGGTGCTCTAATGGCAAATACCGCGCCAGTGCCAGCTATAGGAACAAGACGTGGAAAATGTTAGGTTAGTGAGCATATCAACAATGATAATAGAGATTATTTATTTCTCTCCATACTACACTGTGTTTGACTTGATAATCAAATGAAGCTAAACAATATCGTTGTTTGAGACAAAAAAACTATTTCTTGCCGTGATTATTCGAAAACAAGTTATCTATCCCGAGAATAACGAATAAAATACAGATCAAGCGAGTATTTGAATCTTGAAGGCTTCCCTGATCAAAACAAAAATACTTGACTGAGGTGTTTATAAATCCAATTCTAAACTAAAATAAGGTGTATATATATCTCCAGCATGGGTATGAAATGCCAAATCTGCTGGAATCGGAAACAAATCAGGTATGCGTCTCAACCCAAATAACCAACCGTCATAATGTTGTTTATTCTTGATGACGTCCAATAGATCCTTTTTAGTTCTTAGGAGCTAAAGTTCAACTTCAGCTCCTAGGAACTAAAATTCAACTTTAGCTCCTAGGAACTAAATATGTTGCCTAGCAACATACCGATTTTTGTGTCAGTAATAGAAACGTCAATTTAAGAGCTAATTTTGGTATCAAAATGGACGACTTTTGTGTCGGTTGCAGAAAAAAAAGTTTAGAAAAATCAGATCTATGATTTGATCGAAATTCCACCAAAATCCAACAAAATCTAAAATAGTTACAGGGCGATCAATTTGTGTAATTTTTGCCGGTTAGTGCCACTTTAGAACGTACCACCCAGTACACAGTTATCTGTAATTCCAGCAGACGACAAAATAAAAGTCAAATCATCCGATAACGCCAAAGAAAAAATAACTTCCGCTGCCAGAGAAAGAGCTTTACAGTTGGAAAGAAAGAGAAAAGCAGCCGCTTTCCTCAAACTCAAAACGGCCGGCAGCAATTCCGAAAAAACAGAGCTACCCTCCTCCGCCCCAGAAAAAGAGACGCACAGTAGACGGGTTTCGATAGAAATCATCGAAATTGACGACGAAAGCCCTCCCAAACAGGATTTGCTCAGAGACAGAAGCAAATCCATAGAGAGAAGTTATTCGATAGACAGAGATAGAAGCGATTCGAGAGAGAGGAGTAGAGATGGTAAAAGGAAGAAGACCAAGAAGAAAGAGAAGAAGCATAAAAGCAGGGAGAAGAGAAGGAGGAGCGATAGCGTGGAGGACGAGGAAGAAGAGAATTCGAGGAGGAAGGATGAGGAGAGGAGGGACAGGAAAAAGAAATCGCACAAAAGGTAAGGTAGAATAAGAGAGTGCTATTGTCGTTAAAAATGAAAACCTAGTTACTGTTTGAGAAGTATAATATTGTCTGTTTATTTATTTATCTACCTGTCAGTGGCGCTAGTTTACTGGAAACATCGAGAGCTCATTCCAAAGCTTTGCCGTTTTATAGACGAACGAGTTTTGGTAGAGTGTTGTTCGACATATTTATGTAAGTACTTGAGACATTTTTGATTATGAACTTGACAGAAAAATTGATCTGAACAAATTAATAACTTGGTTCGAAATAGAGGTCACTAGCTTACTGAACATGTGGTCATTAAGGGCGATTTTCGCACTTTTTTTTCAATGAATAGACAATATTGTACCAACCAGATTTTCATTTGAAACGACAATGGTAAAACTTGATTATTTATTTCACAATTTTGCCTAGAGTTTATCTATTTTTGATGTTCATTTTATCTCATTCAAATTATTGTGCCAGTATTTGTCTTTATAAAGTTACGTATTTTTTGTAGAAAACATTCGAAGACTAAAAAGAAATCTAAGAAACGTCATAAACACTCGGATTCTGATGACTCAAATGATAACAGTTCGTCATGACAAAGGAAATATTATTATCATCGTTTTTGAATTATATTGTACAATTTTATACATGAATTAGACACTAAGTTTCTTTGCCTTGATTCATAATACATAGGGAGATGATATAATCACGTACAATATCTGACTATAAAGTCAAATGTGTTCTTGATAAATCATTTTAATTGATTCATATTTTCCCAGTATGGTCTGTAAGTATCAAATTGTAAATATCAGTTGTAAATAAAGTACATGAAAATACATTTGTAATATAATCTTGAATGTGTTTTATACCAACTGAAACTGTTTAATTGCTTACTAGTACCAATGGACTGTGTTGCAGGCAAAAACTTTTTGATTTTCAAGCTGCAAAACTTGAGATGTTTTCCAGAAAAAAATATTTTTCGTAATTTTAAATACACCACAAACAGAAGAAATGCACGAATACTTAGTGGCAAAATACACATAATCAAGAATTCGTGTTACTTTTTCAGAACTAATAGTTTTATTGAATATTATTCATCATTTATACTTAATAGGATAGTTTCTATATGTGTGGGTAAAAATTCAACTATAGGGTTCAACTCCATTCCAGGTGCTTCAATATTCTCCTAAAAAATCAAGGTTTCTTCAAAGACAATCATGTTTATTAACATTATTTTTTTATAAAAGTTACAAAATATAACACAGACATAATAACAAAAATATTGGACTAGTCTAAATATCGCTAAAAATAAAAAACAAATCTGATATACAAGGTGTTTGGTTCACCGACGTATATCTGAATGGGGGATGAACATATTCAACCATATATATGCTTTCTAAAGATTTTTATATGATGATATCTCTTCTTTCTTAAAAAATTGAGAAAGTATTTAATCGATATTGAACACCTGATGGGATCTAAATGTGTGAAGAATGTTGTCCATAATGACTGGCTAAGTATACTAACTTGGCAAAGATAATCAATAGCATGTATGAATTCAATAATCAAAAAGATAATCATTTTCCATCATAAGTGTTAACTGATGATAATAAAATGCCACGTCAGAAGTGCGAATCATGGAAATTTTTCAAGGAACAATAAAAATTGTGGATCATGTATTTTTTTATTCCATAGTCAGTCTTCCTTGTAGAAGATGTAGCAACACATTATACGTTCCTACAAAGCAGTTTTGATGAAATGCATCAATAAATGGTATAGTAAAGGGTCTTTCAACAAGAACCGGTCGATTTTGACAGTGTGTGGCGACCATGTTTCTTTGGGGGCATCTGTCAAATCTGTTGTATTTTATTCAGTCACTGATGCCAAATTACCATGGCAAGTTACACGATCGATCAGCATGTCCAAATGATTAAACTTTATTATCAAAATGAGTGTTCGTTAGTGCAAACGTTGCGCGCATTGCTCCCATTTTACGGCCCTTCAAAGTCGACTCTCCAAAGTTTGATAGCCAAATTCGAGACAAATGGTTCGGTAAACAAACAATCAACACCCTTACGTCAAAGGAACGCCAGATATGCAGGAGACTCCGAGATAGTTGATTTCTCGCCGTGCACAAGAACTCGGCCTTTCGCAGACTTCGACTTGGAGAATCATGCGCCGGGACTTGGGCCTGTACCCGTACAAGATCCAACTGACCAAGCAGCTCAAATTTAAGGACCGTAGGCAACGCCGTTTGTTCGCTCAGTGGGCTTCGGAACGTTTGGAAGACGACCCCGATTTTGGCCGAAAAATAATCTTTAGCAACGAGGCCCATTTTTGGATGAATGGTTTTGTTAATAAGCAAAATTGCCGTATATGGGACGAACACAACCCACCAGGTGGCAATGCATCCACAAAGAGTTACTGTTTGGTGTGGATTTTGGTCCAGCGGCGTCATTGGTCCGTACTTCTTTGAAAATGACGTTGGCGAGGCCATCACCGTCAATGGCGAGCGCTATAGATCAATGATTAACAATTTATTTTGGCCTGAATTGAACGATATGGACGTGGTCGACATGTGGTTCCAACAAGACGACGCAACGTGCCACACAGCGAACGATACAATGAAAATTCTGCACGAACAGTTTGAGGGTAGGGTTATCTCTCGCAGAGGTGATGTGAATTGGCCACCAAGATCGTGCGATTTGACTCCCCTAGACTTTTTCTTGTGAGGTTTTCTGAAATCGCAGGTCTATATCAATAAGCCGCAATCGACCGATGCCCAGAAAGTGAACATAACGCAAGCCATTGCTCAGATTCAGCCGGATTTATGCAGCAGGGTCATTGAAAATTGGACATCTCGGATCCGTGCCACCGTTCGAAGCCGCGGCGGACATTTGAACGATGGCATATTCAATAAATAATGGCATAAATGGGCCTTCCAAATAAAATCGTTAATATCTCACACACAGATTATTTTATTCAATTACAACATCGACCGGTCCTTGTTGAAAGACCCTTTAGTAGTAGTATATGTATGGCCATCGACCTTATGAGAGGTCCTTCAGCCCATGTGTGTTTTGTGTAGGATTGCACTGTTGTTTGGAACGCAACAGCAACAGGAAATATAAGTAACACCGACAACTTATCCATCTCATCAAAAGTGCCTTGCAGGATGTTATTTGTTCAACTATCGATTCTATTTCTGTTTTCATCCGCAAGGTTTCTAGACCAATGAATAGCGAGGTCATATGAGCCCGATCTACACGCTTTATTCTTGTCTGGAATGTACTATGGATCATTCATTTAGCTGACCGACACATTCTATTAAAATGAAATAAAAACTAGAAGTTGAATTGAAGTAACGGGCCTAATATGTTGTCGATGTACTGGTAATCATCTATACATTTCTTCTTGGTATTGACGTCATTGCTGCTACCCCAGATCACTAATCCGTTGATATCTGAAGAGGCCAGTACGGTGAAAGCATTGAAAAGATCATTCTAAAAACATTGTTTTTATTAGCGAATGACTATATCAATTGTTGTAACTAACGAAAAATGTTCTAGTAAATAATATCAGCCCGTTTCTTCTTACTGTTGAACTGGGAACATAGTTTTTCAGGAGATTTTGAGCTTAATCTTATACACTGTGTCCAAAAAAGAAGGACCAGTGTGCATCTCGCAAGCTACGATATACAAATTTGAAGGACCAACAAAATGCCTTCGATAAATCTCTGATATGACTTCCCTTTAGTTATTTTCAAAAAACTGAATTTTCGGATCTTCGTTTTTTTTTTCTGGCGTTAATAGTGAAGTTATGAGTTCGAATAACGCTTCGCCGTTGAGCAACCATTATCAACTCATTATCAAAACGAAAATTAGTCGCATATCGTCGAAATCAGAATGGAATGGGCTATTCGAAGCTCATATCAAAATATCAGGGCCGTATTTGAAAAAATGAAGTTGATGATGCATGGTTGCTCAAAGACAAAACGTTGGATCAGAAAATCGATGATGCCAAATTGAATGGCATCAAAAGGCCCTCCTTACCTGGGCAACAGTGCAGTTTTTATAAGGGATACGTACCTTTGAAAGAAATTCGTGGGTATCATGATATTTATACCAGAAATATGGAACGATATTTGTGTTTTCTTTCTTATTCATTCGTTTTATCACCCGGTGAGATTCTTCTATTCGTCCTTCGATAAGTTTAACTCTATCACTCTCGTTCAGTCTTATGTTTTCCAAATAAATGGACGGATATAAGTTGTCTGTCAATTCAAACAGCCATTCTAATCTGGAAGAACATTTTCCAAATAAACTGCTCAATACTAGGAAGGTAAAATCGAAATTTGTCTTTTCTTCAAGTACCCATCTTCATTCTTTATTGTAGCCCTTCTTGTTCGTAATGATGGGCATTTCCAGTCATTTCTAGGAAAAATATATCTCAAAATATGTGGCTCTGGAATATTTTTCATCAATTCAGCAAATAATACAGATGCTGTTAGATAACTAGTGACTACTTACCTGAAAATTCGTGGTACTGAATATTTTTCGTTGCATAATGAGTTAGATGGTTGATTTCTGTTGGTGGATTATTCAAAATTGTAAGTGAAATTTCATTTTGTATTGAATTACAGTGCAGATATTCATGACAATGCGTTTCAAATCCCTTCCAGTAAAGTACTGTCAAGTTTAGGTACTGTCTCATATGTATATGTACCTACATATACCTACCTAATCAATCAATACTAAATTGCCTACTCGATTTTTCTATTCATTTGAGTACAATCATCACTGCCTTCTTGTCAATAATATTGAGGAATGAAAAAAGAATGAAGTTATGCAGGGAATGAGGTATTTTCAACTTGGCAACATTGTGTTAGCGCCCGTTGTTCATTTCTCTCTCTTGTAGACATAGTTGCCAGATCAGCAATTAAATTTTCCGGAAATGAGTACGAAATTTCAACATCATAAATAAATTAAATATATAAAAAGCGTACCCTGTTAGATACCTGCATCACGTTTTATCCTAGCTAATCTTGAAACTAATGGAATACTCCGGAGTTCAGAGTAAATTGAATTATGTGATCAGCAGTGAATTACCAATCAACTAATCACCTATGTAATTTCGAATCATGGTATTCCTTGCACCATCTTGCACATATGATCAATTCAAGGATGCTTTTCGTGCTTTCCAGCCCTCACAGTTCATTAGCGTTTGAATGAATGGCATTTTCAATACCAAATAATTAATTTTTTGTTCGGTATTCTCGATATAGCGATAACGTTTTTGACTTCTCTTCGTAAAATTAAGGGGAAAGGGGTTTACGATACTGGAAAGGTCCATTGACTGAAGATGGGTACCTACTTAATTTAACATTTTACTTGCCCAGGTGGCTATTCAAAATATTTCTGTGAATTTCGATGAGAATGAAAACCTAGTTAGTTGGCGAAAGGTATGAAATTGTCTGTTCAGTGAACAAAATAGAAGCAAAAGTCGCCCTTATTGAGAACATTTTCAGTAAGCTAGTGACCTCTATTTCGAACTAAGGCTATCATTTGTTATCCTAACCCTCAAAATGTTTCGCATTCCTGTCGAGATCCATCTTGCTGTCAAGTTTGTTATCAAAAATGTCTCATGTTGAAACATCTCAAGTACTTGCTCAAATAAGGAAATCATGATGTAAAAAGAAGAAACCATTGTTTATGCATTGATAAAATTTTAATAGATTTTTTATTCAACTACCTAATATTAGGTTTATGACTATCTAGGATGACTATTAAAATTATTCGAGCTATTAAAAAACATGTAAACAAAATACATCTCAGAGTGAGTGGATTAAATAGAGTGACGACAATAATAGTCCTCCAAAATGGTTGTCGAGTCACAGAATAGCTAAAAATCATGAGGGTAACTCCCATGCAGTAATGAATTTGCGCCTTCGAAGTGCCCACCTGATGTTAGGTTTGTATATTCAATATTTTCATTTCAACATCTGAATAATCTGAGACTTACTAGTCCCAAAAGACGGATTTTAATAGTTAATATCCAAGATACTGACGTATGGAGTTTCTTGTCTGATTGTTGGATGTTTTGTGTCCAAAGAGCAAAATACAGAGACAAAGCATTAACAAAGTAAAATAGAATGCTTAGAACTGAATGGAAAAAACAAGATAAGCTTGGGGGCCCCAACGCATTCCGCTCACTCGTCTTATGCTAGTTACGCCACTGTTACACCATCTTCATTCCTGGAATATCAATTCATTATTTCGAAATTCTTTCCTGAGGTCATTGGAAGTCATTGTGTGTTGCCTCAAATTCACGTCATCTTTGAACATGGCGTGTAGAAATAACAAATAGAAAACCAAAATAAAACAACCAACAAGTAACTTGGAATTAGACAAACAAATCAAAATTTCAATTCGTCTGTGGTGACGTTATGAAAACCACAACCTAAAATTGCCCATTTTGACAAATATTCTATTGAAACAAATGAGCTCTCAATGCTTTTAGTAACTAGGACCGTTGACAAGCAGACAAATTTTGGGTCAATGAACAGAACAACTCTCGCGTACTAACTAGGTTTTTATATAGAACGACAATGGTTGAGGAATAAGATCATGTTCAGCTACCTATTATTTTCCTCTACAACTTCTTTCGGACAACCTCCTCTCATGTTGTTCGGGGACATATTGAAACAGTAGGGGTAGCCATAGTATCCCCATGTAGCGTTCGGCCTCATGAGTTTGGCTAGGAACAGGGTTTCCTCCATGAATTTCCTAGCGGAACTTTCGAACTGGATTTTGGCTTCTTTTTCGATCCAAGTGGTCGGCCAAAAAGGGTGTTTTCGTTTCTCGATGGCAATCGAAAGATTCTTGTATTCTTCGAGAACTCCGAAGTTCTGTCGGAATATCGGGCGCCAGCTTTCGAAATCGATAACACCTACACCTGGAACATTATCGTGAATAATTCGAGAAACATTTTTATAATATACCAAGAAACAGATTTTAACAGTTCCAAACCAACTATATCTTATGGAACTGTTGAAATCGTCGAATTCAATATTTCGATATCAATAGATTTCTATAGTCCTTTTAAAAATGATTGAAAAATAATCCTATAAATAATTTTTTCTACTCACATAACTGAAAGGGCATTTAGCGTACGGATATGTACCACGCAAAATGATCGATCGATTAATCACGGATTGTCAATCTGTGATTAATTGAACACGTGACCATGGCAACACGATTTCTTAAACACATTACCATGGCAACGCAGTTCATTAAACACAGCTTCAGCAATTTGAGAATATCAGAATTATTCAAACAATATTCGTTCGTATCAGAATTCTTCATTAAAAATATATACGAAAAGTAGACGAAAGTGAAATCGAAGAGAATGTTCTGGTACTTACATACCTCCAAGAAGTGTAAAAATGAAGCATCCATCTTTGAGAACAATTTAATTATTCTGCGCTAAGCATGACAATAAACGTGAAACAAAGGTTAGTAAGCAATGGACTGGACACATCTACAACCAATATCATTTATACGTGTCTCGCTGGTTGCACGCAGTTGCATGTATTAAGTTCTCAATTCCCATTCCTTTCGAATTATTTTGTAGGTTAGCAGGAATAGCAGGTATGTTAATGTAATTTTCCGAGTTCGTAGAAAAATCATAGTATGTAACGCGTTTATAAACTCTTCTAGACACTCGTTTATTAAACACTCGCTCCGCTCTGCTCCGCTCGTGCTTAAACTACTCGTTACTAAAAGGACGTTTATAAAACTTGTTACATAATATACTATTTTATACTCACATAACTAAAATGGAATTTAGCGTACGGATATGTACCACGCTAAATGATCGATTGATCACAGATTGGCAACACGATTTCTTAAACACATCACCATGGCAACGCAGTTCATTAAACACAGCTTCAGCAATTTGAGAAATTTAGACGAAAGTGAAATCGAAGAGAATGTTCTGATACTTGCATATCTCCAAGAAGTGTAAAAATGAAGCATCCATCTTTGAGAACAATTTATTTATTCTGCTCTAAGCATGACAATAAACGTGAAACAAAGGTTAGTAAGCAATGAACTGGAAACATCCACAACCAATATCACTTATACGTGTCTCGCTGGTTGCATGCAGTTGCATGTATTATGTTCTCAATTCCCATTCCTTTCGAATTATTTTGTAAGTTAGCAGGAATAGCAGGTATGTTAATGTAATTTTCGGTATATTACCTTTCAGGTAGGTTTTCATGACTTATAATTAAACCATCGAAATCAAACAGTAACCCATGTTTTTAAAAAGCTGTCTTGCCATAGTAATGTGTCTATAATATTTTGAATCAATCACAGATTGTGGATCTGTAATTATTATTAATCGATTAGTTATCAGCGTGGTACACATATCAGTTCGCTGAATGCCACTTATGTGAGTAAAAAAAAAGAACAGTTTCAACAGGCATCAAATAATATAATTGAATGATAATTCACTTTCCAATTAAATTTTTTTGTTGCTATTTGGGTTGACAAGGCGGTACAGAATCGGTGATTACCTGCAAATTCATCATCTGGTATCAGCTCATCCAGGAACGCTGCAAATATTTCCAAGTGCTTCGTCAAATTTCCAGCCTGGGGGACTCCCCCGTTTCTCAAAACCGACGCGGAACCGTTTTTCAGAATGGCGGGAAAATCTCCTGGGTCATACAAGATGTTGATTTGGTCACCGTGAAATCTGTCTTTCTCGTTTTGTATTATTCCGTATTTCGTCGCCAAACCAGTGAAATTCAGTTGGTGATAATCGCATTGGAATGTAGGGATATTCCAGTAGACTTTCGTTTGTTTTGGCGCGATTCTCTTGATAGATCTATCGAAAATTTCGTTGCCAAAATTATAGAAAATACAGCCTATTATTCCATAATTCATTATGTTACGGCAAATCCACATGTGGAAAAAGAAACTCGTACAACTAATCATTTTTTTTTCGGAATAACGCGTTTGAACTCATCAATTAATGTGATACAAATGTTTTAATTGATTTAATAAATGGCAAAGCAGAGAAGCAGGTGCCTACAAATCATCCTTATCAAACAATGAAAACAAAACAATCAGGCAAATATTTTTTTTAGAGGAAATCTGATTTTGAAACATCAATACCTGTAAGTAATATCATTCAAAGATATGGGCACAAAATCTCAGTTCAAATGTACCTATGCCTCTGATAGAACTGTTCAAAAACAGTGGTGTCGGGTTTAGTACCTCATTGATTTATTAGTTGGGGAAACAGCAACATTTTTCTTTGACGTAATAGATGAAGAATAATTTCATTGTTTTCGTGTCATATTAACGCCTTCTAGACATAAAATCAACTCCTGCCGGCGCATATCGGGACTACGCTGATCAGCGGCTTATCAATGTATTATTAAAAAAATATATGGGTAACTGTCAAACATGATAAAAGCTGAAACTTCACCAAATACAAAATGAAAGTTCATTGATGACCTATGTGGAGATCGAGATTTCTCATTAATATTGAGTCATCATAATAATGTAACAGCTTAATCTACTTAAAATTGGTTAAAAATTGAGTTATATTTGATCAGGTGTAGGTCAATTCAGATCCAGTAACAAAAAAAAACGAACCATCAAGTAATACATCAGGAGACCGTGAAAATGGACAATTCTGATTGTTTGTTATGGGTAGAATAGTCAGATAAAAAACTGCAGATAAATTGAAGTGAGTGTATACAAGGTGATTGAAACTTCCCGTCCGTGGCTTATAACAGAAATGGGAAAACAGCAAATTCAAATTTGGCAGAGGGGATTGGAATAGCTGTGTGTAAAGGTATACAGCGTGTCTCACTTTAAACGGCTCCCCTTTATATCTCAGTTATTAGTCATGCGATTCCAACCAAATTTGGTTGGTTGGTTGGCTATTGATAGCGTTAATATTCTCTGATAAGAGCTTCGGTACTTTTCTTTCTTGTTTGAGGAAAATATTGTAGGCTTCGCCTCTTTGCATTATGCGCAACCCTGGCACCTTTGAATTCGATATATTCAAATGGATTCGTCTTACGATTATGTTCATTGAAGTTACCTTCCTGTACTCGTTCCTGTATATAGTTTTCCATATCAATCAAACAGTGTATTCCTAATATTCCTCACCATTCTCCTCACCCAATCTTTCAAAATTTGGGCAATCACGAGAGATGTCGATCACGGATTTCCGTAGTGGAAGTTGACCCAAAACGAGACATTTTATTTTTTGAGTGACTGATAGGTATGTCAAAGTTTGACAACCATAGCACTCTTATGCTGGCGAACAGAATAGCCGCTCATATTGTTTGTTTACCTAAATAAATGATATCGCATATCATGTGAGCCGGGTGTGAATGAAATAATCACCATATTATAGTAGCAATGAAATAACGGCTGACAGCTATTTGACACAAAATTAGTTCATTTCAACATTAATTTTTGAAAGTTTGCATGGTGTTTGGTCGCCATTATCGCAATAAACTATAGAAAAGAAATGTTTAAATACGAAGAAATACATATTACACACAGCTATGAAATTCCCTCCACCAAATTAGCATTTGCAGTTTTTTTTTCTCCTGTTATGAGCCAAGCGCGGAAAGGGACAGTCTGGCCAGTATTTTCTATGTACTTGATGTTTATGACAATATGGAAGCAAGTACCTACTTTAGACCATCACAAATACGACGACCCCTAGTATATTGAATATTTATTTTATCTAAGTATTATCTTAACTGATCAACCATGATAAATAATGAACATACAACAATAACATGAAACACATAATTGAATACTCATTTAGGTAAACGTTAATAACAAATTGTAAACAAAGAAAATTAAGATAAAGAATTTGAAAAGGAAATTATCAACATTGCAAAACCGTTTCATTTCAATAACATAATTTTCCATGGCTTCATTACTCATCGCATATAAAACAATTATTCACATCTACAATTTTGGATTAGGGGACCATTATATTGGTAAGTATTGAATTGAAATATTCAACTCAGTGTAATTTTATACAAAAAAACAGATACACAATACTTAATCAATTGATGGAAAATCTTGTTGTTGTTGAGGTGGTTATTTCTTCAGAAAACTATGATTTTCTATCGAAAATAAGTGGATTTACGACAGCCAACGTGTGGAACGTAAGTATGTCAAGTAAAATTAATTCATTATTTTTAAATTCGAGTGTTACCTTTCGATGTTCCAGGAAAGTAGATGTTTTCTGTGAGATATAATTATAATAAAATGCAACTTTAGTTTTTTCTTCTCGTTCACAGTTTTTTAGATTCATTGACGTGAACCCTCTTCTTCAATTTTGACGCCCTGTATATAAAACATATAGGTGCCCAAAATGAAAAATGGCATAGAAAATTCTGTATATCTGCAAGAAAAACCTTGAAACATGAGTATGCACTTATTCGAAACGTTTAAAACTTTGAATAGGAAAAGGGGGGTTCACATCATTAAAATGTACCTATCGTATATAGGTAAACATTGAATTAAACATATTGTATATTTACCTAATTTCGACAGTTGAAACAGTTTCTGCAAGGATCGATAGCAATAATAATTTGTACATTTCTGTACTAAAGATCACCTGTATCTCTAAAACCTTGATGCACTTTATGTACTGAATATCAATAGCACTTCTGAAATTGTAACAACAAAACTTTTATCACTTAATCAGTTTTGCATATTCAAATGAGGCTTCTGGTATATGCAGTTGTAGAATTAATTTTTCTGCGGAAATCCAAATTAGAGCAATTAAAACCGTTCAATTTTATAGCTGTTTTGATACTGAGACGCGCTTTTAATTTCAAAAGGGTGTTACGTTTGCGACTGTCATAACCATGACCTATTTTTCTTACAACATTACTTACTTTTTATATACAGGGTGTCTGTCTTCACAAAAACATACCGTATATTCCTTAGACCAAAATAAATCGATTTAAGTGAAATTACCTTAGTACAAAGTTGCATCGGTTGGGCTCCAGAGGGCCTTGAAGTTACAATTTTTAAATTGTTTTTCCCATATAAATTTGGTATACTGATAGAGTTTTATTTGGCAAAAAAATGGTGTCAAAATTTTGTCCGATAATAATACATAGGCGTAGAACTTGATTTTTTAATAAATTGCACCATTAAAAATTCTACGCCAATGGAAGAAAAGGAGTTTGAGTATGAAATTTAGATTGCGCAACTCATCTACTTTAAAAAAGGTACTCTTGATAAGACTCGATTGCTCTCATGGTTTTGACGATATTTGCATTTTAGTTATTTTTAGAACATAAACAATAATTATTAGAATACAAACTTTGTCAAAACCATGAGAGTAAATCGAGTGTTATCAAGGGTACTTTTTTGTAGTAAATGAGTACCCAATCCAATTTTCATACTCAAACCTTTTTTCTGCCTTGGCGTAGAATTTTTAAAGGTGCAATTTTTCAAAAAATCAAGTTCTACGTCTATGTATTATTATTAATTTTCTTCGACGTATAAATCTTTGTATGCGTGAAAATGGTGAACATTTTGAACAATTTTTGTAAAATTGTTGTAAATAAATATTTTTGTGAATCCTATACACACTAAATTATTAAAACAGAAATTTAGCGAAAACCATGAGAGTAATCGAGTCTTATAAAGAGTACCGTTTTTAAAGTAAATGAGTTGTGTTAGATGTATGACAAACTGACATTTATCATACAGGGCGTGGAAAGAAATTCTGAATTGAGAAAAACCCAATCACGAATCTGCGATTGAAGGTCTATAAAAATAACAAGTTTCCATCGTTCAAGTTTGAACCCCTTGATTGGGTATGAAAGTATTGAAAAGGAATATTCTCAGATATATTATAAACATGAAAAAATGGATACATTTGAATAAATACATTGAGAATTCGCATTCTCTATGTGATGAAATTATTAATTCTTTCTCGGCATATTCAACAGAAAACAACTACTTTCCTGGCTATATGCCACGACGAACATTGAATTATATCAATTGAACATACACGATAGGAATTTGAGCATAAAATGAATATCGTCTGAAATTGAGAATTGACATTCTCTTCCAGAATCGGATGAATACTATGATGAATATAACGATATAAAAAATATATTACTTACCAAATTGGTATGAAAATTGGAATGTATGGGAGAAATATACTAGTATACATACTCTGTTCTTGTTGAGTCGTGAATTTATCAAAAATCATCCGTATCCATGATGTTTGGGATATATGCACATCTCTTTCACATAGGTTAGATGATTTTGATTCGAATAAAATTCATTTCGAGTTTCAAACTCTCCTCAGTAACCTGAAGTCCAGTCATTCCTTCAGCCATTCTTCATTTAATACACAATTTTCATATTTCTATAATAATATAACTATAGTTAGTTATATTATTATAGAAATATGAAAATTGTGTATTAAATGAAGAATGGCTGAAGGAATGACTGGACTTCAGGTTACTGAGGAGAGTTTGAAACTCGAAATGAATTTTATTCGAATCAAAATCATCTAACCTATGTGAAAGAGATGTGCATATATCCCAAACATCATGGATACGGATGATTTTTGATAAATTCACGACTCAACAAGAACAGAGTATGTATACTAGTATATTTCTCCCATACATTCCAATTTTCATACCAATTTGGTAAGTAATATATTTTTTATATCGTTATATTCATCATAGTATTCATCCGATTCTGGAAGAGAATGTCAATTCTCAATTTCAGACGATATTCATTTTATGCTCAAATTCCTATCGTGTATGTTCAATTGATATAATTCAATGTTCGTCGTGGCATATAGCCAGGAAAGTAGTTGTTTTCTGTTGAATATGCCGAGAAAGAATTAATAATTTCATCACATAGAGAATGCGAATTCTCAATGTATTTATTCAAATGTATCCATTTTTTCATGTTTATAATATATCTGAGAATATTCCTTTTTAAATGAGTTGTGCAATCTGAATTTCATCCTCAAACTCCTTTTATTCCATTGACGTAGAATTGTTAGAGGTGCAATTATTAAAAAAAATCAAGTTCTACGCCTATGGATCAATATCGGACAAAAATTTAACACCATTTTTTTGCCACATAAAACTCTATCAATATACTTACCAAATTTCAGCAAAATCGCATATGCCGTTTTAAATTTATATGGGAAAAACGATTTAAAAATTGTAACTTCAAGGCCCTCTGGAGCCCAAACGATGCAACTTTGTACTGAGGTAATTTTACTTGAATCGACTTATTTTGGTCTGAGGAATATGTGGTATGTTTTCGTGAAGACCTTTTACAGACACCCTGTATAATATAACTATTGATTTAGCTTCTCAGGGCATCCAAATATTGACATTTTTCTAGATATTATATGCACACTTTGTTCCGAGTACAATAATTATGATAAATGTGAATTTACTTCATCTATATGTAGGTTATTTTCTCCATCTTCTAGAGCACACGGAAGGAAATTCCTAATATGTTTCGGTAGAGGGTTGTTCGACATTTCCAGAGATTGGTGACAAAATGATGTACTGATACTGACCTTGTCAAATTTGTCTGAGTGTTATTGCTAGTGATATTTTCTGTCGAAGTATCTAACTATAGAAAAATGGAAGGTCACCGACTTAGTGAGTGTGGCATCACCAAAAAGACGAATTGCTCGTCTCTGAACGAAATCTAAGAGTATCAGCGTATGTTTTGATGGTGAATTTCACATGTGGAAACAGTATTCTAAAACGTGCTGGATCTTTGCTTTGAAGATCATAAAAAGCCGTTGAGGTGTAAAGTAGTTTTCTGTACCTAATATAATAGCAGAGTTTTTGATACATCACACAGGATTTTTCTATGAGACAGTATCGCTGATCACCTTGTCATTCTTTTCAATCCAGTTTTTTGGTTTTCCATTGAATTGACAAGGTATCTTCTTTCATTCAATTCAAAAGCTGCACTTTCAGATAATTTTTCCAACAGCCATATTGGTTAGCAAATAAATTTTCTGGAGTAACCAAAACATCTATTTATTATCATCAACATGAATTACAAAATCTATTTCTATCTTAATAATAAAAACATTTCTCATCTGAAAAAAATATATTCATTTCTAATTCAACAAAAGACCGGGTAAGATATTTTCCAATAATTCTTATTGGCGTATACGGCGGTCACCAAAAACACTTGTTTTTGTACATAATATGTAGTGCTATTCATGAAAATATTTATATTATTTGTTCAGAAAATAAATACCTAGTGTAGTTTTCAGTGTATGCTTTTGAAATTAATTGTCTGACCAGAAAACTGATTATTACCTAAATAAAAAAACATTGTATGGCATATTATTCATTCCTAAGCAGATGAAAGAGTGATTGCAACCTCATCTATACACAGAGGCACTTCCGATAGGTCCTAGAAAATATTTTCTTTTCATAAAAAACAGTCATCCGTTCTTCAATTCGAATACAAGAACAGAACAATGTATTTGAGTCGACTCATCAGAAATGCTCGGCCAAATCTACCAATAATTCACAGAATTATACAGGGTGTTTCACAGAAACCTGACCCCCTTGCTAGGGTAGGAAGAACACTGCAAAATAAGTTGAGTTTGCTTAGTAAAAAAATGTCGTAACGGCATCCGCTTTCAAGATACAAGGTGTTGAAAAACTGTTTTGTTTTTTATACATTTTTTACGATTTTGTCGAAACTACTGGCAACATTGTAATGAAATTTTGTATGAATGTTTTGTGAAAGCTGGCACATCGTATGAATTTGTTTTCATTCTGACTCTCATAAAAGGCGCTAGTTACACGGTTCGTTCCGAGTAGTTTCAAACATAACTTTTTTGAAGTTAGATTGTTCAATCCAAATTTTATTTATTTTATACCAGCATCAGCTATTACTCCATTTTTTCAAATCAAAATATTGCGTGAATAAAATGAATGTAAAAGTTCACATCAAATTTTGATTGAAAAATCTAACCTCAAAAAAGTTATGTTCAAAATTACTCGGTACGAACTGTGTAACTAGCGCCCTCTATTAGAGTGAGATATAAGAACAAATTCATGCAATGTGTCAGCTTTCAAAACACATCCATACACAATTTCATTACAATGTTGCCAGTATAGTTTCGACATAATCGTAAAAAATGTAAAAACAAAAACATTTCACAACACCTTGATATGTTGAAAACTGATTGTAGTATTCCTTTATACACTATAAGGGAATGTTATTGGTATATTCCACTTTGTAATAAAACACTTGTATGCAATTAACTTCACTCGGCCGTCACCCTATCGCTGTCTAACGCTTACTGTCCTCCCGTCCACGTTACTCAGCGCTCAGGTGATTTCCCTTGATAGTCGTTTATTGTGTAATCAAGGGTGATACATCAACTCATACACTACACTGATGCCGTTACGACATTTTTCTCCTGGTTAAACCAACTTATTTTGCAGTGTTCCATATACCCTAGCAAGGGGGTCAGGTTTTCTTGAAAACTCTGTATACTCACCTTGAATGCCAAGAGATACACGGATGCGCGAAAACAAAATTACACATTAGAGATAGGTAGGTGCAGTTCTGAGTTTGCGCATTGCGACAGCATCGACGTCAAATCTAAAATGTTATGTCATCGAGGGGAGTATTATAGAGGTGATAAAGGATACATGAATGGGCGTGTACACCTTAGTAGAACTTTTAACTCAAACCATGTTTATAATGATCCTTTTATACATAAATAATGATTGACGACATAATTCCATCGAAAAATTAACTGGAATGTTTTATTTTTGGACATAAATAATAGTACCTTCTGAAAACGGACCCTCTTATGACGTAGAAACCTCATCTCGCCATAGTTAAAAGAAAATACCAAACGCTTGACGGAGATCGACTGAGGCAACTGAGATATATCAATTCTTTCAACTGTGATCTCGCGCTAATTCACTCTGTCAGAAATCATGTATCATTCATCTCTGTCTGGAATAGTCTTGTTTCAGTATTAGGGTTTTGTCGTCACATCATCGCCTCGTTTTCAGAGGTCCGAAAAATCGGAGATTTCAATAATTTTTTATTAAACGTAGGGAGCTCATAGCAAGAAACGGTTTGTGGTGCTAGTTTGGGTTAGTTCTATCGAATTATGAAATAAAATTTTTTTGTGATATAAGCCCATTCTCCATCAATAACACTAGGACAATTATCAAGAAAATATAAAACATTATGATTCAGTTACTATTTTGCTGGATAATGCCACAGAACAAACAGTTCAATATATCTACTTGGCAACAGTGCGTGAAATGAAAGGCGTTGTCATAGCTGTCAAATGGAGTGCACAGGTCTGGTTTCGGTGGTCTGGATCACAGTTCACAGTACTAGTTAACAGAATTTTGTGGTCTGGTTAACGTTTTATGTGATTTTTGACTGATTTAATTCAATTCATGAGTGATATTTTATGAATATTAGGATTTACGCATTTCTTTATAAATCCAAGAAATTAAAAGTCTGTATGTTGCTAAAAAAACAAAAACAGAATTTTGGAGGTCAGTCGTAACCTCATTCGAATAACGTGATGGAAATCATTGTTGCATACTGCGCAAGCTCAGAACTGCACGTACGCGAAATCAACAATTTAGGTCAATACATTTTCCATGCATTGGTATTCTATGTGAGTATACAGGGTGTTTCAGTTTTTTGTAGCAGAACTTTAACAGCTTGAAGAAGACATTTTTTTAAGATACAAATCTCATACAAACATATATGCGTGGGAGCTTCGTTTCCGATTTACAGGGTGTTGAATACCTACAGGGTGATAGACTTCCATTAAATGTTTAAGAAATGTCAAATAAGTGTTTGAGAAATAACGGTTTTATTACAAGTAATTTATTTTTGGCATTTATCTCGAGATCCATACAGTTTTTGAAAAATTTACATAGAGGCAAAAAGTTTCCAAATTGCAAAGACAATGTCCCATTGAAAGCAGAGGCGGCACGCAAAAAAGTTCTACAGGGTTAAATTGGGTACGACCCCTGAAAGTCTATCACCCTGTAGGTATTCAAAAACGCTCAATAGCCTCAAATATTGAGTTTTTGAAGTGTATTAGGTGTTCCAAATTTCAATCAATTATTCTGAAAATTGTAGGAGAAAATTCGAAATACATAAAAAAAAATCTGAAACTTTGACACCCTGTAAATCGGAAACGAAGCTCCCACGCATATATGTTTGTTTGAGATTTTCATCTTGAAAACATGTCTTCTTCAAGCTGTTGAAGTCCTGCTACAAAAAACTGAAACACCCTGTATATTTCGGTGCCAATAATTGACTTACATGTCAAAACTAAGTTTGTAATCATCTCTGAAAAGGGTAGTTGCATAAACACACTTTCCAAATAGGAATGGAAACTGCAATACAAAGTTTCTTCTAATCAAGTAAACTCATTTCACTCAGCAGTGATATTTTAAATATATCCTCAAAAACAATATTTTATACCCAGAAAACTAATAGTTACAAAAATGGCCTAATCATTCATTCCCATCTTAGTTGATAATAATTTCTTTCTAAACAAGATGGATGACAAAGTTTCGATTAGGTCGAGGTCAAGAAGGTTATGTTCACTCTCTTCTTTACCGGCCACTTCTACTTTGGAACTTCAAATGTACTACTTGATTTTTGATCAATTATTGTAAATCGGATATTTACCATAATATTCACATGCTAAAACAATTGAAATCATGTAATTAATTGATGGTTTCTGAGGCGGCAGTAGTTTGATGATACAATTTAATTTGCCAAAAAAACAACATGGCTTCAAAATTACCTTATGACAGCAGGATAGAATAAAATATAAAATGATTTCAAATAATTCACTGAAGTTTCAATCTCCGATCCTATTTCCCAATATTCAAGGTCAATTATGTATTATACAGACGTGGAAAACAATTATCAGCATTTATTAATTATATGATTTGGAAGGCAGTCGACTAGTACAAAACAGAACTTACAGGGTGTTAATTAATTTAGTGCCGATAATACAAGGTATGAATCCTCGGGTGATTTTGAAGATTCATATCAACAGTCCTAAACCTCTTAGTTTTTGAGCTAACAATAATATCAGGCCTTCGTGAACATCACTGGTATAAGTAAAAGATTGATTTTCGTCCAAAAACAAAATCTGTTTCCACTCATAGTGGGTGCCTACAAAATGTTAACAAGATACCAAACACAATCTCAAAGAAATGAAGAAAAATATGCCAATATTATGCCAATCAATCAACCAGATTCTGGAATAAATGTTCATTGTTCAAAAAGTAAACTGGTGGAAAAAAATTTCAGGTTATGTATATAACTGGAGCTCATTTCAAACCTTTGAGTTTCATCAACCTGATTTATATGATAGCATGAAAGTATATTATTTTTATTTTCGTGAAGTTTTCAGAGGAAAGTAGTTCTCCCACATCCCACATCGAATCCATCTTGAATAAAAAGAAAAAAGCGCACTATACATTATATATACAAAATAACACATCATGTAGATCAGCAATCAGTCGGTATCAGCGTTGTCCGGACTGTTTGTATTCGTTTCTGTTGGTGTTGTCTTGATGGTTGCTGACGGTGTGCTACTGGCCGAATGACTCACTGTAATAGCCAAACAAAATAAACTGATCAACAACCACCAACCACTCAATCCCATTAGTGCCATTAGCGTGTGTACTGATAAGAGTGATAACACTTTATGTCATTGACAAGTTTGACAACTACAGCTACAGCAAGATGTATGCAATGTAGTCTATGCACTTTATCCATAGACAATAGTTTGTTTTCCCCCAGTTTGAAGTTCGTATTATGTAACCTAGATGTTTGACAGATAATCGATTGCATCAATAATTTTTCTTCTTCATTTGTGTGTTGATTAAAATTGCATATTATCAATAGAGACGGAAAAAGAAACGGAAAAGTCGATATGTTACCAGATCTAGTAACCTAACCTAAGATATGTTACCAGATCTAGTAACCCAACCTAAGATATGTTACCAGATCTAGTAACCCAACCTAAGATATGTTACCAGATCTAGTAACCCAACCTAAGATATGTTACCAGATCTAGTAACCCAACCTAAGATATGTTACTAGATCTAGTAACCTAACCTAAGATATGTTACTAGATCTAGTAACCTAACCTAAGATATGTTACTAGATCTAGTAACCTAACCTAAGATATGTTACCAGATCTAGTAACCCAACCTAAGATATGTTACCAGATCTAGTAACCCAACCTAAGATATGTTACCAGATCTAGTAACCTAACCTAAGATATGTTACTAGATCTAGTAACCTAACCTAAGATATGTTACTAGATCTAGTAACCTAACCTAAGATATGTTACCAGATCTAGTAACCCAACCTAAGATATGTTACCAGATCTAGTAACCTAACCTAAGATATGTTACCAGATCTAGTAACCCAACCTAAGATATGTTACCAGATCTAGTAACCCAACCTAAGATATGTTACCAGATCTAGTAACCCAACCTAAGATATGTTACCAGATCTAGTAACCTAACCTAAGATATGTTACTAGATCTAGTAACCTAACCTAGGATATGTTACTAGATCTAGTAACCTAACCTAAGATATGTTACTAGATCTAGTAACCCAACCTAAGATATGTTACCAGATCTAGTAACCCAACCTAAGATATGTTACCAGATCTAGTAACCTAACCTAAGATATGTTACCAGATCTAGTAACCCAACCTAAGATATGTTACCAGATCTAGTAACCCAACCTAAGATATGTTACCAGATCTAGTAACCCAACCTGAGATATGTTACCAGATCTAGTAACCCAACCTAAGATATGTTACCAGATCTAGTAACCCAACCTGAGATATGTTACCAGATCTAGTAACCCAACCTAAGATATGTTACTAGATCTAGTAACCTAACCTAAGATATGTTACTAGATCTAGTAACCTAACCTAAGATATGTTACTAGATCTAGTAACCTAACCTAAGATATGTTACTAGATCTAGTAACCTAACCTAAGATATGTTACTAGATCTAGTAACCTAACCTAAGATATGTTACTAGATCTAGTAACCTAACCTAAGATATGTTACCAGATCTAGTAAACCAACCTAAATAAATGTATTGAAGAAACGAAAAAGTCGATATGTTGTTAATATGCAATTTCAATCAACACACATATGAAGAAGAAAAATTATTGATGCAATCGATTAACTGTCAAACACATAAGACATTTTGTGTAGGTACACCGCCAACTAAGTGAAATAATCATGAAAAAATAGACTGATAGCCCTGTGGATCATGGTATAAGAGGAACAATTTCAGTTTTATTATTCCAAATGGGAAGATCATGTGATAGGTACATGGCGAAAATAAAAGTCAGATAGTTTCTGTACGAGAAGCTGAATTCGAAAAAATATGTTCCTATCTTAGATTCCTCAATATCATGAGTTATTTTCGAAGGTTTTCATCTTGACTCAAACAAAAGCTATTGACAACCTGCAGACATCGATCAGAATATCAAAACATTTTGAATAATATCGGTTTACTAATGATCTTTAAATTTCAAAGCCTACCAAGTGTCGATATATCATCGAATTCATGTCACAGCCAACTTATTCTTTTTGAATAAAAAGCAATTCAACAGCGAATCAAGAAATAAATGCCATTTTGTGATACATGGTTGGATAGAGAATTACAAGGCGAAAAAGATAGACTGAAGAAATGTACAGGGTGACTTGAGAAAAAAAAAAGTTGGGGTCACTTCCAGTCAAACAGGTGGTTGTAAAAATTGTCGTTAAGTTCCTAAAGTGCGCTACCATTTATTATACAGTGTGTCCCACTTACCATGCTCACCATGGATATCTTTTAAACGGTGAGAGATACGAGGTCGGTTAAATGACACCAAATGTGGAGTTTGTCAAGGCCAACTATAATGTGAAACAAAATTCTGATAAAATCTATTCGTTTTTGTTTTATACGCAAAAAACGGATTTTGATCATTTTCATGTCTCCTCCGTAACTTCTTTAATTATGAAAATATTCAAATAGGAATTTCACATTCTCATGGCAGTTTTTCAAAGTGATTTCGAAAAAAATATGGAATTTATACCAACTCTTGTAGAATTTGAGATATCAGCACCAACTTTAGTTTTTCAAATGTAGGTCATAGCTCACTATGACTTAGTTACAAATAGTTTTTTTTTTCTCTTCCAGATGATATGTCGCAGTAATATTTTTGTGTTGATAACAACGGAGTTATCGTCATTTATACAAGAACAAAAAATTATTTGGAAGCCGCCATCTTGAATTTATGAATTTTAACCAAAAAATCATGATATCCGACCTCAAAAACCCCCACTTACCAATTTTGAATGGAATCGGACCAAATCTTGTCCGCCATCTTGGAGCAGCCATTTTTTTTAATTTCAACAAAAATTCCATAATGTATTGTCACCGAAATTATGAACACCTGTCAAATTTCAAGTTAATCGGAGTAATGGAATTTTTGTTGAAATTGAAAAAAATGGCTGCTCCAAGATGGCGAACAAGATTTGGTCCGATTCCATTCATAATTGGTAAATGGGGTTTTTTGAGGTCGGAGATCATGATTTTTTTGTTAAAATTCATAAATTCAAGATGGCGGCTTCCAAATAATTTTTTGTTCTTGTATAAATGACGATAACTCCGTTGTATTATTACTGCGACATATCATCTGGAAGAGAAAAAAAAACTATTTGTAACTAAGTCATAGTGAGCTATGACCTACATTTGAAAAACTAAAGTTGGTGCTGATATCTCAAATTCTACAAGAGTTGGTATAAATTTCATATTTTTTTCGAAATCACTTTGAAAAACTGCCATGAGAATGTGAAATTCCTATTTGAATATTTTCATAAATAAAGAAGTTACGGAGGAGACATGAAAATGATCAAAATCTGTTTTTGCCTATAAAACAAAAACGAATAGATTTTATCAAATTGTTTTTTCACATTATAGTTATCCCTGATAAACTCCACATTTGGTGTCATTTAACCGACCTCGTATCTCTCACCGTTAAAAAGATACCCATGGTGAGCATGGTAAGTGGGACACACTGTATACCCCCAGTTAATTTCAAAATTTTATCTCTTCAAATAAAAAAACTACAGGCTGCTACATGTCTCCTGTGTCACCCGGTATACCAGGTGAGAATTTGATTATCCTCAACTTGACACACAGACAACACTGACCTAAGTTAACGACGAATAAAAACCTTTCAACTCACCAGCAAGCGTGACATAGTCGTCGTCGTCATCTTCATCCTCATCGAAGTCCGTGTCGTCGAAGAAGAAATTGACGGCGACGTCCTCCACCTCCTGATCCGCCTCGTAGTCTTCGTCGTCGGGATTGTAGTCGTCGTCGTCGACGTCCTCGTGGTCGTCGAACTCGTCCGGCCACGTGTCGTCGTCGGACGTTTCCGCCATATCGAAGGTCGTGTTCAGGAGGTTATCGACCGCGTCTCTGTTTTCCAGAATCTAATGATGATGATTATGAGCAATCAATCAATGAGACTGTAAACACCCAGAAGTACTTGGGAGTAATGATAGATGAAGCATTGAACTGTGATTATATAATGAAAAAGATTGCAAAAAACATAGTATATTGTGCAACAAGTGAGAAAAGTGCTTTTCCTCACATGTTGTACACTATACTTTTTCTACAACTGCACTTATTCAAAGAATTCGAGTACTGTAGTTTATTGGTATTCATTTTATAATGTGGCACTATGCAACATTGAATATTGTGACCAAAGAGTAGACGCCTTTCCTAGTTCCACAAAGTATTTCAAAAAAGTACACTTTCCGAAAAAATATTTTATTTCTGTATTTTTTTAGATTCCATAAATTTTTTGTTTATGCCAATTCATACTTTTTTCTTGAAATTTTCGGAATCAAATCCAAATTTCGCAACATCTTCCATTATCTCTGTCTCTGGCGGTGTATTTATCAAAATCGTCACATCTCGGTATATAGTGTCATTCATAAAGTCGGCATCATATGGGAAAAACTTTTATTAATGACTTATTTTGGAATTCGAGTTGGACGTTAAGTTTTGCTTAAAAAAAGATGAAAAATGGCCTACTCAATCGGAGTCACGTGACTTTCGCTACATGTCAAAAGTGACATTTTTTCAAATTAATCGCTGAAAGTAGGCTTATTTGTACGAATATTGGAAAAGTTTACTTGAAAAAGTTGTTTTATTTCAATTTTACACATGCTTCTCGAATTTGATCTTTCTATTGCAACTTTTAGATTTTGATTTTTTTTTTAATTTTTCGAAATTTCTGTAATATTTGAAGAATTGTTAATTCCACGAAACTACTTCATACCAGTATCTTTTCCATGCTACTTACTTTCAATTACTTATTATCACTGATTATGGACAGAAATATGATTTTCTTCAGAAAGTGATAATACCCGCTTCCAAATTCTGTTATGTTTGATGCAAAGTTGATATATCGTCAAGCATTTAGAAACTAAATTCATTCAAACTGATCTTTTCACTACTGAAAAAATAAATTTAAATGAATTTCGTTTCTAAATGCTTGACTCAAACATAATAGAATTTTGATGTTATGTTTTCATCAAACATAACAGAATTTTGAAGCGGAGATTATTATTTTCTGAAGAAAATCATATTTTTGTCGATAATTAGTAATTGAAAGTTAGTAACATGATGAAGCTACTGGTATGAAGTAGTTTCATCGAATTTACAATTTTTTTAATATTACAGAAATTTCGAAAATTTTTAAAATATATCGAAATCTAAAAAATGTAATAGAAAGATAAAATGCGAGTCACATATGTAAAATTCAAATAGGAACAACTTTTTCAAGTAAACTTTCTAGGTATTCGAACAAATAAGCCTACTTTCAGCGATTAATTTGAAAAAATGTCACTTTTGACATGTAGCGAAAGTCACGTGACCCCGATTGAGTAGGCCATTTTTCATCTTTTTTGAAGCAAAACTTAACGACCAACTCGAATTTCAAAATTAATCATTAATAAAAGTTTTTCCCATATGATGCCGACTTTATGAATGACACTGTATACATCATATTATTTATTATGAATTGTTGGAATAATATTTGATAGAAAATGCGATTTCTATCAAAAGCACTAATGAGAACTACACTAAAGAATTTTAAAAACTTCCACTGACAGTTGTGACAACTATTCAAAGCTGAACAGCAGCCAAGTTTTGGTCGATTTTTGTTGATTTTCCATGGAAATTTATGTGTTGTTGGCAAAGTGCCGTGAGAAAAAATATTTCTCACAGTATGAGCAATACATGGTTCTGAAACTAAGTTAGCTATGAGAAATGCGCTACTTTTCATAGCAGTAGTAGAAAAACTCTTTTTGCCTATTACCGATATTTGATAGTCATATAATTATTTTGATACATCCGGTATAGTTTACTATTCCAGCATATCGAAGAATTAGTCAGAGTTATGTAAAATGTAACCTCAGAGTTATGTAAAATGTAACCGTCGTTGTATTGTACATGAAATAAAGGAGACGTGTGTCAGTCTTGATCAGAATAAAGCTCAAGTGTGTTTGATTTCCAGGCCAGGATTTTTTAGGCTACCCATATTTTTTATAACTTTTAACATACTATTTTACTTATAAAATAATTTTTATCCATTAACCTGCAGGTTGGATTTAATTTGGATCTCAGACTATAATATACTTAAATTATGGAATAACTTTTTTCATTTCTGACCAATGCAAACCACCAGATTATCAGAAATTTAAGATTCACTCACTCACTGTGTGTTCCAAACTAACTACATGTGATGAAAAATATGCTGAAGCTGAAGATAACTTCATTTGGGACTGGTTCAGTCAAATCTTTTTCAGGGCTTGTCATTTGGGGGGTTTCCATGATAAAACACTATTTCCAATTAAATAACAATAAAAAACCATTATGAAAACCACAAAAATTAAATCAAACAGGAGGAATGAATGAGGAGGGTATAGGAATAAGGAATATATCAAACATCTTCTCTATTCACAGGTTATCAATAGCTAAGTGAAAATTGAACATATTGCCAGTTATTTTATAAATAATACCTAGTTATTGTTTGAACTTCAACATTCATGTAAAATGTGCTAGATAGAATTTCCTAAAAAATGTCCTGAAAACAGAAAGAGTATGGTTCATTTAAACTCAATTGAAGAATTTTCAGAGGAGCTGAAACCAATGAAAAACACACAGATTCAGATTGTATAATTTAATTTGCATGTTTTATCAACAATGAGCCTATATTATTAATAAGAAGCACATCTCATAAGATACCTTCAGTTGTGTTCAGTTGCTTCAAAATTGAACATGCTTCACATATGCTTCAAAGCACTTTTTGTTGACAAAATGGTACCACAAAAAGACATGAACAAACAAGAATAAATATATTTTTCAAGTTTTAATATTTTTTTATGAGTTTTATTAGACCCTCAGGTAGTAACAGATTTTTGGATGTGATTTCACACCATATGCCTATTGGAGGGTATCATAATGTATATATTTTGATGTTTAAAAATGATATAAGAAAAAATCCTCCAGGGTTCTTCATGCATTAAAGTCAGTTAAGATTTATTCTTTGCAAATTGAGCATTTTGATATGATTTTAGTCAAGCTGCCTGTCTTCCAAATTGTAATATGAGTGATATACCTAGTTGAAAATACAAAGGCATCAAATAAAATCATTTATTTTCCATAACTGACAATTTACATTTTATGGGAATAGTCAAAGATACTAAAAAACTATAAAACTTACAAACTAAAAAAGAAAAAAATTAGAAAACTTACAAACTAATGAGCATACCTGTTGCATAAGCCCAAAATGGTCAGCTGTAGTTGCATTTTCAGGCTGCCTTTAATAAGTATACATGTTAGTTATACTTATGCTATGGAAAATGGAAAAAAAAATTATATACCATTTGTGCATGTGCAAGTACACCTAAACCTTGAAAATGTGCCTAAATGAATGAAAAACCTGGGATAATTCTTTCATACCTACATCATTTTTCAACATCTGATACCCTCTTTAAGGTATATTTCTTGAAACTAAAAAAACAGGACATCATTCAAATGAGAGATGAACTGAACTTACCACCATATCATTAGGAAGTGTAACCCAATCATCTTCTCCATTTATCTCAAAATCACTATCACCTAATTCATCTTGCTCATAAGGATTTCCTATAAAATCAAGCCCCATTTTCTGTTTTGCTGAGCAAAAGTTCAACTCAACACTGTCTTGACCAGTGTTTATGAACTCTCCTTCAACAGGTTCAACAAGGATGATGTGGAATCCACAGATGGACCTGAAACTTCTTTGGTTTTCCTCTGCTGTCTTCTATAGGGACTGACTTTGATAGATTTGTTGTTGATTTTTATTAATTTTATGGCAGAAGCTGCTTCCTGGAGTGCCTTCTTATTTTCGAAATCCACCACACACCAACGGCGAGACTTCTAAAAGAATAATTGAATGAAAGATATCTAAGAACAAGCTTGAAAGTTGGAAGTATAAGCTTTACCTGTCTAGGCAAATGAACTTGTATAATGGCGGGATGTAAATCTTTGATGATGAATTCGTCTTCGATCTTGACAGGCAGGCGAATGTATAATTTATGTTTCACATTCACATTAGTCTCTAGGCTGAAAAATCGGAAAGGAATCATTGTATTTGGCTAGTGATGTTTGATTCATAACCTCAAAAAATAAGCTACCTGTTAACATGCAAAAAACTGTGAAAGAAAAAAGCTACTTATGTGAAGTTAGCGCCCGACGCTAGCGCTCAAACGTAGCGCCCTCCCCCCACCACAGCGCCCAGTTTACACTACACAATTTTCAGTACTTTTAGGGCGCTAGCGCTACGAAATACGAAACATCGAAGATATGATTACGTGATTCCTCTCGTGCTGGGTACAGATCTCTAGAACATTCTAGTGATGGCGTCATATGAAAAATACAAATACCCCCCCCCTGGATGATTTTTTTTTCTAATAGAAGGAAGGAAGCTGGAAGGAAGGAACTTTTGTGACGGATTTTCGTAGAGTAGACATCGATATAGAGTGTGATAACTATTTTATGCAAAAATTTCAGATCTCCAAAAAGATGGCGTCATATAAAAATACCCCCACCATTCCTAAATGGAAATAATTTTTTTCTAATAGAAGGAACTTTTGTGACGGATTTTCGTAGAGTAGACATCGATATACAGTGTGATAACTATTTTATGCCAAAATTTCAGATCTCCAAAGTGATGGCGTCATATAAAAATACCCCTACCATCCCTAAATGAAAATATTTTTTTCCTAATAGAAGGAACTTCTGTGACGGATTTTCGTAGAGTAGGCATCGATATACAGTGTGATAACTATTCTATGCCAAAATTTCAGATCTCCAAAGTGATGGCATCATAAAAAAATACCCCCACCACTCCTGAATGAAAATAATTTTTTTCTAATCGAAGGAACTTTTGTGACGGATTTTCGTAGGGTAGGCATCGATATACAGTGTGATAACTATTTTATGCCAAAATTTCAGATCTCCAAAGTGATAGCATCATAAAAAAATACCCCCACCATTCCTGAATGAAAATATTTTTTTCCTAATAGAAGGAACTTCTGTGACGGATTTTCGTAGAGTAGGCATCGATATACAGTGTGATAACTATTCTATGCCAAAATTTCAGATCTCCAAAGTGATGGCATCATAAAAAAATACCCCCACCATTCCTGAATGAAAATAATTTTTTTCTGATAGAAGGAACTTTTGTGACGGATTTTCGTAGAGTAGACATCGATATACAGTGTGATAACTATTCTATGCCAAAATTTCAGATCTCCAAAGTGATGGCATCATGAAAAAATCCCCCCACCATTCCTGAATGAAAATATTTTTTTCCTAATAGAAGGAACTTCTGTGACGGATTTTCGTAGAGTAGGCATCGATATACAGTGTGATAACTATTCTATGCCAAAATTTCAGATCTCCAAAGTGATGGCATCATAAAAAAATACCCCCACCATTCCTAAATGAAAATAATTTTTTTCTAATAGAAGGAACTTTTGTGACGCATTTTCGTAGGGTAGATATCGATATACAGTGTGATAACTATTTTATGCCAAAATTTCAGATCTCCAAAGTGATGGCGTCATATAAAAATACCCCCACCATTCCTAAATGGAAATATTTTTTTTCTAATAGAAGGAACTTTTGTGACGGATTTTCGTAGGGAAGACATCGATATACAGTGTGATAACTATTTTATGCCAAAATTTCAGATCTCCAAAGTGATGGCGTCATAAAAAAATACCCCCACCATTCCTAAATGGAAATAATTTCTTTTAAAAAGAAGGAACTTTTGTGACGGATTTTCGTAGGGTAGATATCGATATACAGTGTGATAACTATTTCATGCCAAAATTTCAGATCTCCATAGTGATGGCGTCATACAAAAATACCCCTACCATTTCTGAATGAATTTAATTTTTTTCTAATCGAAGGAACTTTTGTGACGGATTCTCGTAGGGTAGACATCGATAAACAGTGTGATAACTATTTTATGCCAAAATTTCAGATCTCCAAAGTGATGGCGTCATATAAAAATACCCCTACCATTCCTAAATGGAAATATTTTTTTTTCTAATAGAAGGAACTTTTGTGACGGATTCTCGTAGGGTAGACATCGATATACAGTGTGATAACTATTCTATGCCAAAATTTCAGATCTCCAAAGTGATGGCATCATGAAAAAATCCCCCCACCATTCCTGAATGAAAATATTTTTTTCCTAATAGAAGGAACTTCTGTGACGGATTTTCGTAGAGTAGGCATCGATATACAGTGTGATAACTATTCTATGCCAAAATTTCAGATCTCCAAAGTGATGGCATCATAAAAAAATACCCCCACCATTCCTGAATGAAAATAATTTTTTTCTGATAGAAGGAACTTTTGTGACGGATTTTCGTAGAGTAGACATCGATATAGAGTGTGATAACTATTTTATGCAAAAATTTCAGATCTCCAAAAAGATGGCGTCATATAAAAATACCCCCACCATTCCTAAATGGAAATAATTTTTTTCTAATAGAAGGAACTTTTGTGACGGATTTTCGTAGAGTAGACATCGATATACAGTGTGATAACTATTTTATGCCAAAATTTCAGATCTCCAAAGTGATGGCGTCATATAAAAATACCCCTACCATCCCTAAATGAAAATATTTTTTTCCTAATAGAAGGAACTTCTGTGACGGATTTTCGTAGAGTAGGCATCGATATACAGTGTGATAACTATTCTATGCCAAAATTTCAGATCTCCAAAGTGATGGCATCATAAAAAAATACCCCCACCACTCCTGAATGAAAATAATTTTTTTCTAATCGAAGGAACTTTTGTGACGGATTTTCGTAGGGTAGGCATCGATATACAGTGTGATAACTATTTTATGCCAAAATTTCAGATCTCCAAAGTGATAGCATCATAAAAAAATACCCCCACCATTCCTGAATGAAAATATTTTTTTCCTAATAGAAGGAACTTTTGTGACGGATTTTCGTAGAGTAGACATCGATATACAGTGTGATAACTATTCTATGCCAAAATTTCAGATCTCCAAAGTGATGGCATCATGAAAAAATCCCCCCACCATTCCTGAATGAAAATATTTTTTTCCTAATAGAAGGAACTTTTGTGACGGATTTTCGTAGAGTAGACATCGATATACAGTGTGATAACTATTCTATGCCAAAATTTCAGATCTCCAAAGTGATGGCATCATGAAAAAATCCCCCCACCATTCCTGAATGAAAATATTTTTTTCCTAATAGAAGGAACTTCTGTGACGGATTTTCGTAGAGTAGGCATCGATATACAGTGTGATAACTATTCTATGCCAAAATTTCAGATCTCCAAAGTGATGGCATCATAAAAAAATACCCCCACCATTCCTGAATGAAAATAATTTTTTTCTAATAGAAGGAACTTTTGTGACGCATTTTCGTAGGGTAGATATCGATATACAGTGTGATAACTATTTTATGCCAAAATTTCAGATCTCCAAAGTGATGGCGTCATATAAAAATACCCCCACCATTCCTAAATGGAAATATTTTTTTTCTAATAGAAGGAACTTTTGTGACGGATTTTCGTAGGGAAGACATCGATATACAGTGTGATAACTATTTTATGCCAAAATTTCAGATCTCCAAAGTGATGGCGTCATAAAAAAATACCCCCACCATTCCTAAATGGAAATAATTTCTTTTAAAAAGAAGGAACTTTTGTGACGGATTTTCGTAGGGTAGATATCGATATACAGTGTGATAACTATTTCATGCCAAAATTTCAGATCTCCATAGTGATGGCGTCATACAAAAATACCCCTACCATTTCTGAATGAATTTAATTTTTTTCTAATCGAAGGAACTTTTGTGACGGATTCTCGTAGGGTAGACATCGATAAACAGTGTGATAACTATTTTATGCCAAAATTTCAGATCTCCAAAGTGATGGCGTCATATAAAAATACCCCTACCATTCCTAAATGGAAATATTTTTTTTTCTAATAGAAGGAACTTTTGTGACGGATTCTCGTAGGGTAGACATCGATATACAGTGTGATAACTATTCTATGCCAAAATTTCAGATCTCCAAAGTGATGGCATCATGAAAAAATCCCCCCACCATTCCTGAATGAAAATATTTTTTTCCTAATAGAAGGAACTTCTGTGACGGATTTTCGTAGAGTAGGCATCGATATACAGTGTGATAACTATTCTATGCCAAAATTTCAGATCTCCAAAGTGATGGCATCATAAAAAAATACCCCCACCATTCCTGAATGAAAATAATTTTTTTCTGATAGAAGGAACTTTTGTGACGGATTTTCGTAGAGTAGACATCGATATAGAGTGTGATAACTATTTTATGCAAAAATTTCAGATCTCCAAAAAGATGGCGTCATATAAAAATACCCCCACCATTCCTAAATGGAAATAATTTTTTTCTAATAGAAGGAACTTTTGTGACGGATTTTCGTAGAGTAGACATCGATATACAGTGTGATAACTATTTTATGCCAAAATTTCAGATCTCCAAAGTGATGGCGTCATATAAAAATACCCCTACCATCCCTAAATGAAAATATTTTTTTCCTAATAGAAGGAACTTCTGTGACGGATTTTCGTAGAGTAGGCATCGATATACAGTGTGATAACTATTCTATGCCAAAATTTCAGATCTCCAAAGTGATGGCATCATAAAAAAATACCCCCACCACTCCTGAATGAAAATAATTTTTT